GTTCCAACTACAGGTGGTGGCACAGATGAGGATGTCAAAGCCAGGATCGGAATGACCGACAGCAAGACAGACCTCCCTTCATTAATCTGAAATCAGTGTGAAGATTTACTGCACTGCACAACACTGCGTTCAGCATGAAGCGTGAAGAAGATGCGGATTCTCAACACTGATGTCAGTCAAGTCAGTGCTTCTATGTGATGGTTGAGAGACTTGGCGGTGCGTTACGAAAAGCATTTCGAACAAACAACTGCAGACATGCGTCATCGACAACTGCCGTCCACGCTCGCTTGTTCACTCGATACTGACACTGGAGATCAGATTGATGGAGAGAAAGAATAAGAATAAGCAATAAGGAACACAGTGTGGCTAGCTGGTAACGAACCAACCAGGAGACTATCGCCCAGCAAATATGCAGAAGGAGGTGGAGATGGATGGGACTGGACATACACTGAGAATACCGTTTGAGAACATCAAGGCGCCAGGCCAGACCATACCAGACCCTCAAGTGTAATCCGAAGGGGAGTTGACGAGTTGGGCGTGGGAGGGTGACATGGAGGAGATTGTGTGAGGAAGAAATGAAAGCTTGTGGGCAGTGGTGGAGCTAGGTTCAAAAGACTGTAGAGAGCAGATTGAAGCTTTATGTTCCACTCAGAACCCAAGGGATATACAGTAACAATAATAAAATTTTACCATTTTTTGTATTTTGTAAGTACTCATCTGACATTATAAATGGGCAGTTAAATTGTTGTTTTGATGGGTCTCAAACATGATCGCTGTAAACAATTTTGTGTAATATGTTGATCGCATTTATTCAGAAATTGATGAATCATATGAAACCGGCACACAGAAAGATTGTAAACTTCTGAAGATCGAACACTGAAGTTCAAAGTAACCATTGAGAAGATTATACAACACTAGTGCCTTACCTAACTAGGTAACCAAAACGTTTGTCTAAATTTTATGCTCAAATAAACCTGGGACTTCTGATGTGCTGATACTACTTTTTTATGCAGACAGACTAACCAAGATTGTTCAAACAATGTGAAATACATTTCACCTTATAGATCGTGTAAAATACGACAATATTTAGGCGATCCATACGATCAGATTTTATCGTAACAGTTCACTAATCAAGAAGTATCTTAATTACACCCAGCAGTATTCTGTTTGAAAAACGATTACTTACTTACTCAATAACAGCATTTTGACTATACTTTTGCTTACTTGTAGGAGAAACAGTCACCAGTTTGATTGATTTCAGTTTTGAAGTTCATTCTGTTATAAATGTAGTTTTATACAAAGAAATATCACATGTCTACTGCAGTAGACGGTAGTTGACCCCTGAGCACACAACAGTGGATCATATAGCCATTACAAGGATACGCACCTGGGATAGCAAATTTTCATACTGGATGAACGATCCTCCACCATCAAACTTGAGTGTGCTTTTCTATCTGACCCACGTACAACAACATGCAAACCAGATGACCTAAGGTATATTACTGCCTATCATACTGCTATTATTAGCATTATATGACTGCCATGGTTATTTCATTTGGAAATATTGTACAAGAAGTAAACTTGTTGATATATCATGCTGAGAATTTCAAACTTGACTAAAAGTTATTGTCTAGAATAAAGTGACTGTTACTATTATTATTAGTTGATACACCTGGTCCTATGGATACTAAGTCTGTTCTCCCACTTATTCACATAATGCTCAAACGTCAACATCAAACGCTAAGAGGCTTTCTACAACCTGCCAAATCTATCTCTATCAAAACCACGAAAGTCGAGCTTTGAGTGCAGAAAACTCGAACAATCTTTTGAGGTTGTCGACCGAGGCAGAATTCATATAATTCAGTTCCCCAGATAACCTTACCGAGTTTTACATACTTTTACATCTACCTAACTGGAAGTTGTTTTTCTAAGCTTAAATTTTGTATTTTCAACTTTTATTTTTACCTAATATTGTGTAACTATTACTTCGTTTTCATCCCTGTGTACTCAATTCACGTTGTGCTTCTTATGAATAGTAATATCATTTTGGCTATCTGAAATAGTGGTGATTTGGCGGACTTGTGTTGACACTGGGTTGAAGTGGGTGAAGTGGGCCACGGCAAGACTCGAATCCAACTTCGAGCCAAATTTTCACTTAACCTTCAAGTATCACCTAGTATCAATTCCTTATATCACACAATCCTCTTTACCTACTTATTATCAGAAACTCTGTAATATGAAGAGCTAAGAAATTTTAATCCCGATATTAGTTGAACTTACATTTAGTTTTATGAAAGTTCAAATTCATGTAACCACTTGATGTGTATATTCATTAGTGTACTTCAAAGCAGAGCCCCATGAAACTTTAACGAAAAAATTTACATATTCGCTCAAATTTCCTCCTGCTTAGTGATACCATGAATGTATTAAATTAGCTTTTTAATTTTCATACCATTCGAACTGCAGTCACTTGGTGGACATATAAGTGCAGACTAGAAATATGCAGTGATTAGTGTCGTAGTTCAAAGGATATTCGATAAATTCATTACATTTCATTCTCATCACGTTCATTGCTGGCTTTCGACAAGTTCTTGGACATAACTGTAATGTAACTTCATTTCAAAAGATTATTAGACCTTTGCACCAGGGCTAAACATATAGTAGACCGAAGAACCGAATAAAAACCTCATATTTGAATGACATATATCTGACTACACAGACTGTGTTAGTTTAAGGTAGTGGTCGTTCACCGACTACTTATACCAATCAGTAGTGAGTCCTGTGTGTTGGAGATATAAGATCCTTGAAAAACTAACTTATAATATATGTATATATTATCATTGTATGCTTTAAACTTTATTTTCGTACCTTTCTCGCCCCACTCTGCTACTTATTTTTTTTACCGTAGTTTACACTTTTACTGTTATTTTGTTTTCGCTGGTCAAGGTCTTCTAAAAACAATACAAACGACTGGATTTTCAGCTAAAATCATACCATTCAAATGAAGCAAATATACTTTCGATTCCATTGTTGTCTTCTTTGTCTGATGTCAACTGAATATTGTATTGAGAAAACATTGTTCTCAGGTTAGTCGTATCGTGTTGAAGCATATACACAACTAAAGTAAAACAAGTAACAAGTTTGAAAAAAGCAGGATTTAATGAATTCATAAATTTAAGTAGTAGTCGTCAGCTAAAGACCAAACATCATGTATTGAAATGCAGATGGTACAGCAACTAAAGCAGCCCCTCAAAGCTAAATACATAGATGAAACCACATTTAAAAACACTAAACCAATTGGATCACAGATCCCAAAGTTATATGGACGAGCAAAAATACATAAGCCAGATGTATTTTTAAGGTCTATATTATCAATGATAAATTCATCATGTCATAAAGTAGCTCAGTGGTAGGAAGTAGAACAACGTCCCCAACAGTGTAGAAGAAATCAGTCTATATTACCCTGCCAAAGGTGGTGACATGCTAGAAGTAGTTAAACGAAGACTGGAGAAGTCTACCAGAAAGACTTACTACGCTACTAGACTCGTTCTTCTCAGCACCACCGAAAGAGTACTGCAGCAATCAGGGCTCCGATCCTCGACACATCTAAACGGGTATATCAATTGCAATGTACCTGTGGGAGCAAATACATTGGTCGTACCGAGAGGCGGCTGTTCACTCGAATGGCTGAGCACCTACTTAAATGGTTGAAGAATGCCGAAAAGACGATCCAGAGGACTTCGATAAAGAAGCACCTAATGGAGTACAGACATGATATTGATACCTGTAAGTCCTCTACGATTATCAGCAGACAGCAAAATAAGAAGTTGCTTGGATATGCAGAAACCTGTGCGATTCGAGTTGTCAAAGCAAACTTCTGCATTCAGGAGAAAATGGTACTCAGCTTGAATCTGCCATGGTAGGAATTACAACATTGTCTAATCATACTTAATCTTTCTTATTGGCTCTTCGCTCTTAAATATCACCCACCTGATATTTTGTTTTCCTTCCCTAATTTGTTTCGCCTGATTAACCTTATGCCTATTAACAATGTTATCATTATTATTCATCTCAATATACACCTGGTTTTCTTTATGTCCGCATAAGTACTATTAACTATCTTGTTTGAATGATCTGCGCTCGATCGATCCAGTTCTCACCTCTATGTCATCATCATTGTTGTCATTATCACTATTCTCCTACCTGAAATCTACTATTATCCAAACTCAATTAACTTATCTTCAACCCATTCAATTTTGAATATCCATTTCTACCCTTTGCATTACCATTTGATCCGTAAAAACTGTTCACTTCTATGTTGTTACACTTAAATCTGTCTCAGTCTACGTTATATATGTATGTATGTGTGCTCTTTTCCATTGTTTAACGGTATACATAATCAAGTATGTAGAGTATCCAGCTGGTGAGTACTACTGAAATCTATAAATTCATTAAATCCTGCTTTTGTCCCATCCGTTACTTGTTTTAAATTTGTATCGGGAAACAAATTTTTTAAATAACTAAAGTAAACAATCCTTTACAGAATCCGTAATCCCAGCATCTCCTTAAAAAGATACATAACTTTTTTTGAGATGAATAGGAACTTTTTAATTTAGAAGTAGTATTCATCATGGACTGACATTAGTTAGGAAACCATTGAAAACCTAGAAGCACTGGACAGCTGTTTCGTCTTAGTATGGGACTCCTCAGCAGTATGCACCCACTACCCGGCTAGGGAACGAACTCAGGACCTTCAGGTTTCACGGCGAACGCGTTAACCATTCAGCCACTGGGCCGGTTTCCAGTGGTTCACAATTTATAACTTTGTTAACCCTTAGATTTGTACTAGGTGATTGATTTGAACCTCACCTTCAATCATCACGCAGTATGAATAGCAGTCGAATGATAACCCTTAAATTGTTTATATAACAGAAAGTTTAAAACATCCGGGGAACACACTAATCATATATATATATATATATATATATATATATATATATATATATATATATATATATATAACTCAGATAAAAACTGCACAGTTTACAATTTGGTACACTTTCTACAAATATACACAGAAATGTTCACTTTCTCGATTCATGTATATATAAATGAGTATTGCACATTAAAAGAAAAATACACATAACATAGTCATTTTCAAAGTTATCAGAAACAATTGCATATAAGCATATATGAAGGTTAAGGGACTGAATCAGTATCATCTTCAATGCTAGAATGAGGCCTCTTTCCTCTGAAACTTTCTGCTTCAAGATTTGTACCACTTACTTCTGGTAAAAATGGTGCAAGAGATTTCTAAAAAGCATACGATACAAAAAGGGTTTACAAGATAGTAGCAGTTTTCAAAAGTGATACTGTATCAATAAATTATGAAGATCAATTGAAACAAAAATAACCTGAAAATAATGATGTGAACACAACATGCATATTCTGTATAACTTACCCAAAAATTAACAGTAGGCACAGATAATAGTTCAATCTAAATTGCTATTACTTTGAAATAAACATTTGTGTATTCAGAGGTATATATTGTTGTCTTGTAGAGCAGTAGGCTCACTTATTATTTAACAAATAACTTACAAACGCATTTTATTGCGTGCAAACTTTGCATCTAAAAAGGCGATTCCAATCGCGAACAAACCATAGCTAATACAGTAAAGGTTTACAACCGTATCAATCAACTTTCCTCTTCTCACTAAAACTCTACACCTCTGACTTCTAGGATTACTAACGTGGTGACATGATCTGTGCTGCGAAGGCAATGGTGGTTGCACACCTGAAGCCTTCTCATTCTCTTTTGCCAGATAAGACACTACCAAAGACCAGACCTAGAACAACAATTTGGATTTGGGTGGCGAGAAACGCATCCCAAATGTTTTGTCATTTCCAGTCAGTGTCCGGAAGACTGCATTTTCACAGCGTCTTCATTTAACAGGACTATAACATCTGAGTGCTCTCGATCTACCAGAGCGTTTTGCCACAGGATCGATCCCTGAGAAGTTAAATGACGAGATGAACATCTTCATATGTACGTTTATGATAAGTTAGAATGCCGTCTCCAGGTCGAGAAATGCAGCTAGTGACGGGCGTCGGTAACTGCGCTTGTGTCCCTTCCAGAACCTGGTGAAGAGTGAATATATCTGGCCGATATATCCACGGATAGGTTTGAAACCTGAGTGGTTTTCTCGAGCTTGCTGTTCCCGAGCTCGATTAGGACGTCTAACGATTATAGAACTTAGAATCTTAGACACTATATTCGTCAGGCTGATTCCGCTGTGGTTATCACAAGAGGATTCCTCACCCTACTTCGGGACTGGGACAATCGATGATATAGACCAGTTGGATGGGGCTGTATCTAACTTCCACACACTAACTAATACTTCAGTCAATCTCACCATTTATTCTCTACCACAGTCCTTCAATACATCTCGTAGTAGTCCATATGGCCTTGGTACGCTTTTTCGTTTCACGTTACCAACGGTTTCCCGTCCTCTCTAGGCGTCGGGGTCCTACCTCCATGTTCCAACTCCATAGTGGGTAACTAAACGGTAAGACGAGACCAAGGAAACTGTTTTCGGAATGTTCTGCATATCACCTTAGTCATCTCCATTGTTTTATTTAGTTTATGTTTTAAACTGGATGTAAGAAAGGAAATAAGAAATAATGTTTAAAAAAAAAGGAATCTACATAAATTAAGACAAACGTCTATTTAGTTAGATTTCCCAAATAAGTAGTAACTTACAACAGTGTCGCTATGCAGTTTAGGTGAAGATGAATTCAGTGATGAAGCTAGTGTCAAGGTAGGTGGATTTATAGATGTGTTCATTGAATTATCCTCTGTTTCATTTGACCAAAATGCCTACAGTTTTCAACAGAAGTAAATCATGTCAACATCAAGTACATAAAATAAGTTAAGCATTTAACAAAAATGCATTTTAATCAATAGTGTTGACTGAGAGAGTTGGGGAGGATAGATTATGTTTGATTGGGTCTTGTGTACTACTGGAAGTATATATGGTGGTTGACACTATCCGACTGTCCACACCGTGGAAGGTTATTTCTTTTCAACGTGCGTGAAAGAGAAAAGATTTATGTGACTGTAGAGCCCAAGGGACATCGGCTTAAAGAATGTCATACATAACCTTTTACGGGTTGTCGTTTTGAAGTTTGGTTGTTCCAACGCCTGACAGAGAAAATCTACACCACCGACACCAAGACCGTGGACCAGGGAGCAGCATTCCACTTTTGTCTGTTTATTAAAAATGACACACTTGTATGAAATAGACTAAAATAGAATTACAATCCACCATATTGCCCACGTTTTGCTACTTTCGGGGCCGACCACGTCCCCTCCACTTCCCACTGGAAAGGCAGCATCAACACGGTACTGTTGGTCATTAAAAGGAAACACCTAACTGCTGTCGAACCCCATCAATCAAACAGCAGCATGACTTCGCCCTCAGACTCCCATCACAGTGTAGTAATTTACACTACAACGGGAACTGCTTTTCATCGTTACACGAGCGAACATACCCTCCTGGTATGGTGGGACCTGGAGGGAGCAGGCGTTCAAGTCAGCGTAGTTCGTTGAATCATTGTGATATCCAAGGCCAACTACCAAGTCATGGTGGCAGCTATAGGCCAGAATCAATAACTCAATCGGTAATTGCGAGTATCTTTTTAATTCATAGCGTAATAAATATCCAATACAGTCATCGAGACACAAAATTAACAGCAATAACCTTAGTTTAAATATCTACAGTACACTTATATAGTAGATAATTAAAAGCGAAAATCCAATCTTCCCAAAAGATGCCCCCAACAGGTTCTACCAAGTAGTCAAGTTAGGTAAATGCAGCACTAGCACAGTTTTACGCATATTCTTACTATTATTAGATCTTCCTAGGGTTCCCAGTGCAACACGACTACATTCCACTCCCTCCTCTGCAGTCAATGACTGCCCATCAGCTTTCATTTCTTCCTCACACAATCTCCTCCATGTCACCCTCCCACGCCCAACTCGTCAACTCCCCTTCAGATTACACTTGAGGGTCTGGTATGGTCTGGCCTGGCGCCTTGATGTTCCCAAACGATATTTTCAGTGTATGTCCAGTCCCATCCATCTCCACCTCCTTCTGCATATTTGCTGGGCGATAGTCTCCTGGTTCGTTCGTTACCAGCTAGCCACACTGTGTTCCTTATTGCTTATTCTTATTCTTTCTCTCCATCAATCTGATCTCCAGTGTCAGTATCGAGTGAACAAGCGAGCGTGGACGGCAGTTGTCGATGACGCATGTCTGCAGTTGTTTGTTCGAAATGCTTTTCGTAACGCACCGCCAAGTCTCTCAACCATCACATAGAAGCACTGACTTGACTGACATCAGTGTTGAGAATCCGCATCTTCTTCACGCTTCATGCTGAACGCAGTGTTGTGCAGTGCAGTAAATCTTCACACTGATTTCAGATTAATGAAGGGAGGTCTGTCTTGCTGTCGGTCATTCCGATCCTGGCTTTGACATCCTCATCTGTGCCACCACCTGTAATTGGAACGATGCTGCCTTGCCTAGGTAGGTAGGTAGGGGGTAGGTAAGTAGGTAGGTGGAGGAGACAACTTCCTTTTGATTCCTCCTGTTGATGGTGATTGGTCCTCGTTGTTGATATTGTTGTTGTTGTTGTTGTTGACTGGGTATCTTCATCACCTCCGTCCTCTCTACCTTCATCTGAAGTCATTCCCGTCTTCGCTGTCTCGCCACACCTCTTCTGCAAACTTCTTGCTTTTCGCCTGCAGATCATCGAGTTTGTGTGACAAGACGTTAGACATATGTAAATCATCATCGGTGGTGAAATCCAAATCTTCTAGGGTCTTTTCATCGGTCCGGCCAGCGTATACCCATCCTCTCACTCCTCACAGTTTGCTGCATGATCCAGTTCAGTGCTGTCGACCACAATCAGGAAGATGGTCGGTGTTAGTAGGCGGCAACCTTGTCTTACTCCTGTCTTCACTTCACTTCAAAGACGTCACTGAGCTTTCCATTGTCAATCACTTGGCATGTAGACTCTTGATGTAGCATATAGCTGTTGAGTGAGGTTGTTAAAGGTTCGTGTCACTGAAACCGTGGTGTTGATGCAGCTGTCTGCCAAATTACTTCTCTTTCGACGCTAACGAAGGCCTTTTCAAAGTCAATGAAGTTGAGGTGAAGATCCAGTTGACTGCCATTCTACACTCTCTTCTATGATAATGTGTAGCCTAGCGTTGCAATTTCATCTGCACACGATTTGTTCTCCATGAGGTCAGGCAGCCAGCCAGCCAGCCTGTCCAGGTCGTCATTTTGAATCCAGTGCATTGTTTAGTCTCTCCAGGATGATGCGGCTTCATATTTTGTTTGAAGTAGAGATGGACAGGAGCTTGATTCCTCGCCAGTTCTTGAAAAGACTTAGCTCGCCCACCCTTCTTTGGGATTTTGATGAGGTAGCCCTTCTTCCACTCAATGGGTAGGTACCTTTCCTTCCTTCCTTCCTTCCCTCCTTACAAACCTTCTGCAGTAGTGGTGTGATCACGTCCACTGGTGTCTCTGCGTCTGTTCTCAGTGATCTGGTGGAATTCAATCTGGTCCTGCTACTTTCCCGGCCCTCAACAACTTGGGGGCGTTCAAGACTTCACTTCTGATTTTGTCGGAGGGCTTGTGTTCACTGGTAATTCTGTGAGTGGACTGGGCTGCTGATGGTATTTCTGGACGAGTTGCAGGTGGTGGTGGTGGTCGATTGAAGAGTTTTTTGAAGTGGTCAGCCCATTGTTTCCTTTGCTTCTTCTCTTTGGTCCAGTCGACCACAATCAGGAAGATGGTCGGTGGTAGTAGGCGGCAACCTTGTCTTACTCCTGTCTTCACTTCACTTCAAAGAAGTCACTGAGCTTCCCATTGTCAATCACTTGGCATGTAGTGTTGTAATCTCAGTAGAGTCTATAAATTTTGATTTAACCAGGTTCCTATGTTTCGTCAACCTGACTGACTCTTTTAAGCTAGTTTGACCTATTTACTTAACGTCACAGTCATTGCACAGTACTTATTTAGTACATTACAGTTTTGTCTAAATTGGGCCTTTATAAACCTTAAACCGACCAGGTTTGTCTATGAGTTCGTAGGTTTGAATGCCAACCTACTCCCAACCTTGTTGAGAATCCTATGGAAGGTTTTTATTTCATTTCCTGATATTACAGTACTACATTGGCCTTGAACTGCTTATAAATTGTGTTGTAGGAGGATAATTGTTAAGAAGTAAGGCTTCTCTTATGTATTTTATTTCGTTATTTACATTTGTTAACTTACTGAAGAGGCTTTCACCTTTACTGCTCAAGCATTTAACTAAGTCTATCTTTACTGATATTGGGTGAGATGAACTAAAGTCTAGATGGTTTTCTGTAGATAGTTATGTCTAAACCACCATATTCTCTTCATGGTGTGAACCTACATGTGCTCCCCTTCTTGATCTGATGTTGTGTCCAGTAGGCTGGCTGCGTCTCGACTTTCTTCACATTGAGGTGAATTCGATCTGATTTTTAGTGTAGTATATCCTGGTATCTGGTGAAATCCATGTCGCTCGCTCTGTGAATATCCTTGTGTTCACACACACTGCCTCCAATCACCATATCGTTGAATGTGCAGAAGTTTGCAAACAGTTCTCCATTCTCATTCATCATTTCACCGAGTGCTTCTCGATCCATGATCTGTTCTCTTCCTGTGTTGTCTGCTCCCAGTTCGGCAATCATGTCACCACCCCACCCATTAGAAGTTTTATGTCACAGTCACCAACTGGGGTGCTGTCTTGTCCATTACTGATTTCAGTTGTTTGTAGAATTCCTCCTTCTTATCTTCGTCTGCATTACTTGTAGGTGCGTAGCATGGCACTGAATGATTGTGACTTCCCTTCCTTTTGATTTGAATCTTGCTGTCAGGAGAGGACTGGTTACCACTGCATGAGAGGCCTTTGATACTCAATAGCCACTCGTGGTTTTCGTCTGCGTGACAATTTCCAAATAGATTATTGACTCCTCTCCAGTTGACAGTTTGAAGAGTACAATTTCATTCCATCTCCTTTCACAGATTCCAAGCACTTCTATGTCATATCTTCTCATCTCTATTGCAATCTGGGCAGCCTTGCCAGCGAGCTTCAAACATTGTGTGGACATTCCATGTCCATATTCTTACTTTCGCTTTCGTCGAGACAGAGAAAACACATCGGCCCGGCCAATAGGCTTCGCATTGGCTTTCACCAACCGGCGTTATTTCGTCTCCCCGATTGCAGCGAGGAATAAGTTTGTTTTTATTTTTTATATTTTCTACACATAAGCACACAATTCTCTAGATACATTAAAGGATCATGCCTATGCTGACATAATTTGCTAACACGTTAAGTGTGTAATAGACATGCAGTTTCTTAAAATTTATTATCTATGGGTTATCTTTTCACATTCCTTCTCGGGTACTGAATGTTCCAATTTTTAACATAGGTCGTTTCACATTACCCCTTTAGAGTTTGCTGAAGCGCGGTAGTTACTAAATTAAAGTATATCAAAGGGGGCGCATACTGATCTACACACCTGCTCTGTCTCATGATACAGCTGTGAGGCATGGTCTTTGAAAAAAATAAATATCAGACCTGTGCCCTGAATTCCACTGCTATCCAACAACAAATAACAGCCCAGTTTTAGTTTTGACTGACATCGGTGCAGCTGTACGACTGAAAAAATTCTAATATATTACGTAATAAAGAAAACTTCAGAATACTTACAGGAGTTTCCAGGTCATAACAATAAGGAGTTGATGAGAAATGTGGTTGAGGCTCATCAGTTTGTAACTGTTGATGCCATTGCAGATACAATTCAATGGCTATACGATGTCGAATATTATTATTTGCTCGCGTCATTACAGTTTCAGCGAGTACACTCAATAAGCGATGAATAAATTCCAACCTAGATGTTATCAATTTATCATTTAAATCATTCATAATAGGATCTAGTAATTCATGGACCAAGGCGTTTACTTCAGACAGAGAAATATGATTTCTGTTGAAAAGTAAAGTGAAAAACATTTCTGATGAATGATATTTTCAATCAGTTTTGAACAAATCGCTTTAAATATTGTCGTAAGAATTATGTTTCGATTATGTATGTGGACATCTTAGCGCTTTAACAAGCAACATTACAACATTAATTTCCAGTGCTAAGTCAAACGAACAACCATGATGCTAGTCACTTTTGTTGTTTAAGTTATCTGAAAACCATACGAAACAAGAAATTGAAGAAATCGTTCCTTTGTATTTGAGTATCAAACTACTGACTCAGTGTAGAAATAACGAATTTCGCCTCCCCTTGAGCATATTGATTAGCCTAAGAGCAAAGTTTTTTTCAAAATAAGGACCAACTTGAATTTGTTTAGTAATCAACAACTTCCTGGTATTTACTACAAAAAGGGACTTCTCAACTGTGAGAAGGATTCAAGACTGAGCTGTAAGCTATGACTGTTGATTGGGAAGAAAACTTACGAGGTCCTCAACTGGTCATTAAGGGGTGTGATTCGAACTCGCAAACTAACTACCCAAACTACTGAATCACAATTATGGGGCCAGTGAGATATCCGACTATCTATCAAAGGACGATTGCACTGTGCTATAATTCGTTCTTCTCTGTTATATGGCTGTGAGACATGGTCCTTAAAAGTATATGTGAAGCGGTTATAGGGTTTTGATCGCAGATGTATCCGTAGGATTGCTTGCATTTCGTGGAATCATCATGTGAACAATGTTGAGGCCAGGTGAAGGTACTGACCAAGGCAAACAAGTCGATTGATAAGGTTATAAAATTCAATCAAATGAGATGACTTAAAAATGTACTGGGCATCCCGAGCCACCGCACACTTCGATTAGCTATGCTAAGAAAAGTTGGATTAGGTTGAAAGAGGGTTCAGGGTAGCTAGTCTGTAACTATTCGTCTGAGTTGTGTAGAGAGATGAAGACCGCTTGACTGGGGTCCCCGAGATTATAGGAAGGAATCAGCGATCGACGATTCTTGGTGATATGGCTGAAAATTGGTCTCAATGGCGGTGCAGATGTATGCACTCCTAGACGTCTTCCAAATCTTTAATTTTTTATTCTCTCAAACGACTTTTTCTACATTGCTATCACCCTTTTTTTATCCACCTGTTCTTAGTGTACTACATACTATTAAGTGCGGCAGCTTCAAGGGATACACTAGTGTGCGAGGATCAACGTTGATTCTATCTGTCTGTCTGGATTGTAATGGCCACTGTTACTAGTAGCACCAAATATAATAAAGGGCTCTTCTTTTCCCTGCCGAAAAGAATACAAACATTATTTTGCAGTATACTTACCTGGAACGCGGAGAAGTTAGCAAAAGTTCATCGTTGGAAACAAGTGCAGTAGAAACCCGTTCACCATCAGATAAAAGTTGGTTAGCCCAAGAATACCAGCTTGTGTCACTAGACGTATTATGAAAAGTTATTTCCTTAGATGGTGTATTCAAAGCTTGAGGTGAAATGGAAGTAGAATCTGAAGGAGGTAGAACAATGAGTTGACTACCTTGTCGACTAAGACGAAGTCTAAGGCTACGGTGTTTTTGACCTTGGGAAGTAGATGAACTATTCAACTGGGAAGATTCATCAGCCGGATAGTTGGAAATGTTGGCATCCGAAACGGGTGTGTTTGTTTCATGCAGATTACTGAGAAATGAAGAAGAAAGGTACAGAAATATTGCATCATAGATGAATTTAATTTCTATAGTAATTGGTATGAGCAGAACATGCTAGAAACAGTAAACTGCTAACAAACATTTGAAGCTAATGAAATTCATTCTTGCAGTATCAACAATAGGTACTTAAGTAGATTACTTATTACAGTAATCAACAATAAACCAAGTGTTAGAAGGACACGAAATTTACCTGTACTCAAAAGGAATGAGAGCAACAACCATTCAGGGTTTTAATCATAGGTGCCTTCGTGGTATTGCTCGAGTTTGATGAAATAATCATGTGAGCAATGTTGAAGTCAGTCAAAGGATACTAAGCACAATAGACTAGTCAGTTGACGAGGTTGTGAACCTTCATCACCTGAAGTAGCTTGGACATGTGCTGTGCATACCGAGCCACCGTCTACCTTGACGTTCCATGAAAGGGGAATTTGGATTAGGATGGAAAAGGGTTCGGGGTGGCCAGACCAAGACGTGACACCAGTCCAAGAAGTCCCGGAGTGTCGCTCTAAGTCATGTGCAGAGATGTAGACTGCCTGGATGGCTGGAATCCCCGAGACCATAGGAATGAGTAGGTCAGGAGTCTTGGTGGTAAGGGGAAAATCGGTCACAATGGCGCAAATGTATTTACTCTTTGACATCTTCTAAAGCCTTAATATTTGTAATAACTGTTTTCAAATTGTTTACTCTCTCATACAACTTTGTCTACAATGATATCACTCTTATCCAGTCCAACTATTCTTTGTGTAGTACTGGGAAGTGTGGCAATTTGAGCTGATGCACCTGTGACCGAGGCTCTACGTTGATTTCGTTAGTCAGTGTCAGTCAATCAATCACAAGTTTCATTAACTTTCCTGCTTTTTGTTGTCATCCCTTAGCATCCTGATTAGGCTACTTACACTTTTAATGCCTTAAAGAAATACAATATTATTGTTCACTGCGTGGGCTAGCAGGATAACTTTGTCTTCTCTCTGAGTTGGTCGGCTGCTGTGACTGCAAGTGTAGTAGGTCCAACTCATATATAACCATTCGGCGCAATAATAATAGATAGGACCAGTGTTTCGTATCTCCTTCAGTCTGTTAGTCATAGGTTAAGAGCAGCAACAACGACTATAAAGTAAGATAGGGGAATCAACACAATAGAAGTAACAAACTTAACAAAGAGTAGTAAATAGACAATGTACTTTAGCAGTTATTGTGACAACTAAGATATATGAAAGCATCTTTGTATGATTAGTCTTGTGGGAATGAATACACATTAAAGTGGAGTTCATACAGGTAGTTTCATTTGCTTGTAAAATAAACGATATAGCTATAGCACATAACCATTGAAAATCAACAACGGTAAGAGGTATGTGATTATATGTTTATGTATAGCACTGCTCACACGCAGTGGAACAATTCAATCAGGCAATGCTCATGTTGGGTGTAGAGTGGTCGAAAATAAAATTAATTCATAAAATGAAAGTGCGAACAAGAATGAATAGTTGTTGTCTGAATGTGTTGCTTCTTACCTCTGGAATAACGATGAAGGGCTGGAAAATACTAAGGAAGGCTTAAGTAAAACACTAAGCATCAGTGTATGAAATCATTGACTACTGTTCCAGATTGTGTTGATAAGCCCAATCTTACCATTTAATATCGTTGAGATATTAAAATCCACTGACTGCAGACTTCAAGTAGTATGAATTGCATTAAACAGACGACTGGTGAAGCACATTCCTCAAAACTTGGATAATTGGTTAGCTCATATCTATTCCATATTAGATTTGTTTATTTGATATAAAGCGCATAGTGATACAGTATTATTTACTTGATAATAAAAGTAAATAATACTGTATCACTGTGCGCTTTATATCAAATAAACAAATCTAATATGGAATTACCTTCTACCACAGTGCCCAAGTTTTACACTTAGCTCATATCCACTTTATTGGTTTTATGAACTTCAACTTTATTTTGTTACTGGTATTAATTTCGTTTCAACATGCTTAATCTATTACGGTTATTTCAATTCCGTTGTCATAATAATGTATAGAGGCATACTCCTAGTCCTCAGTTATTTAGGCTGAAGCAAAGGGTGTAACATTGGAACCCAAGACTCAATATATAAAAGTCGAGTATTGAAGCTAATTTATCACTATGTTTTTCATGCTACCCGCATCAATGTTTTAAAAATATCAAATAAAATAATGCGGTATTATTTATTAACCAACTCAGTTGAGAGGATGGAAGAAGTTATTACTAATCGGCATGCTGTAAATTAAAGAAAACCCTGATATCACTTAAATTAAGACAATGACAAAGTTTAGGACTAAAAAACCAAATCTGAATGCTTTGTTAAGCCAGACACTACTTCAGTAAATAAAATGTATCCGAAACGATGTCCTGTATCCTTAATACTGTGTTGTTGTGTACTACATCAAATAAAAACGTTATTGAGGCGGTTTACTGAAGCACAGTATCCAAATTCTACTCATATCTACACTGTTTGATAGGTATCTTTTTGTAAAGGTGACTAAATACGGTCTAAATACTGAATTTATGAATGAGACGACTCATGCATACTTTCAAACGGAGTTTCAGTTCATCAAATCAATGGATAGCATGTGTCTTATGTACTAATCAACTCCAATCCCGGGTACATGAAGAATGATCCTATTAGTATTACAACCCAAAATGAGAATTAATGGCATTACCTTGATTACAAACAACAAATTATGCTTGAAACACCATGCAATAGATTTAACTAATATGAAATCATAATATTTCCATAGTTCTAATTCTAAATATTAATCATTATGCTCGATCAATGTAGCTAATCAAATCCTAAAGGAGATAAATCCTCACCCAAATACCCTAGTGATAACGTCTCTGACAGTGGCACTGGGTGACGCGAATAGGAATATCTTAGGGGACATCAGTTCCATAGGAGTTCCAGATACGCCTTGCTGACGAGTCTCAACAGAAACAAAACCTAGGCCCCGGTTTTCGTGAAGAGACTGCCTCAAACAATATGACATTTCCAAGTATATGAATCGATGATCATTGCTTAACTTCCCCTGAAGAACGTCGCATAAAATGCATTAGCTCAATTTGGTATATTAGTAGACACTAAAATAAAGAGGCTCCATTATATAGTATGAGCTCAGAAAACATAAGAGAAGAATAACAGAAGATAATGGAGTTGGCATAAAAAATAATAGGCTGCCTAAGATTACGAGTTCATATCTTTATATACTTACAAATTTTCAAACGCATTTTCAGTTATATTTTCATCTGACTTTTCACTACCTTGTACTGTCATGACAATTTCTGTTGCTAAAGTATCCATTGGAGAACTCTTGCTGCTTTCACGTTCTGTTTTAATGAGAAAAGGTAAAATAGAATAAGTTGGGATCTTTTTTGAAGTTGACTTGTTAACTTCTTCATGTTGTTGGGTAGATTTCGTGGAAAGTTTGAGTTTCTTAATCACGCTTTCTTCTTGATTTAGAGTTGATAAAGCAACGTTAACGATTTCTGTCTTGTCTGAAGTACAAGTGCCTTCATGTGGCATATCAAGGTTTTCAACCAAATAATTAATTTCCGGTTCTTTATCTTCAAAATTTAATTCATTATCGGTTTCACAAACATTAACTGTACCAGATGAATCTATTTTGAAACTTTCAACAACTGTTTCTACAGATGATTTTTGATTCAACTCATCCTCAGTTAAATTTTCATGAACATGAGTAGTGTTTACAAGTGCAGGACTAGAGGTGATTGAGGAAAGTTTATCATCAGCTTGACACTCTGTTTCGACTACAGCCTCAGTAGACAAAGAGGAAGCAACATCTGATACAATGCATTTATCCTCTTCAGAATTGCAGACATTTATTTCATCTTCATCAGCTATTTCTGTGACAGTTCTATCGTTATCTATGGTAGAGTATATCATAGTATCATCATTGTTCGGAATGGTGTTCTCGGATTTTGTATCATCTTGCATTAAAAAATCTTCTATATCAGATGTACACATAGCAACAGTGGATGGTGTTGATGAAGGTGAATCAGTTTGCATATCCGTAGACATTCCCTCATACAGAGAATCTTCAGAATCATGTTCTTTTTCTTTGTCATCATCCTCATCACTGTTGTCAGAAATTTCTTTCTTATTGGATAAGGATTTTTTGAACACGTCACTGTAACTTCTCTGATGAGATTTAGTCGAATCAGATGGTTGTGATTTGCGATTGACATCTAGAAGATGAAAGTGGAGTGAATTCATGTTAGGCATATCATATAACTGAATATATAAAATAGATTTCGCTTCACCTGTGTTCTTGTACAAGTAGAAACTAAATTTATGAAGTCACATTTATGAGTAGATCTACGGCGATGTGTTCCGGTTTAATACCATTTAAGTTTGTTCATCCGGTATATCGCAAGTGACTGCACGACGTTTTGGATACAACTAATCGTAAACTCACCTGATGGTAACCACGTAATTCTGAGATATGTCTCGCATACACCTCAAATTCTTTTCTTCTCTGCAGGGGAGGCTTTAAAATTTCGTCTAGATATCTGGAGTATATATATATATATATATATATATATATATATATATATATATATATATATATATGCTGAATACTTCCTATTGCATGTATTGAATGTCTACTCTATAAACAAAGATTAATTTGGCCATTCCAGACTAGTAAACTCTTACGAGTTAAAACTAAGGATTAATGACCTATATATATATCAAAGGATGGAAAAATGGTTAGATTAGATGTAACAAGTCTTTATACTACAATACCAATCAATATAGCACTAGAAACAGTCAGAAATCAACTAAATATTGACTCAAAACTCACTCACACAACTAAGATATCGCTTGATAAGATCACATTAGGTCTACACTTGTGCCTCACCTTCACAGTCTTTCAACTTTCAGGACAGACAGACAGGAGTAGCAATGCGATCACCAACATCCACAATCGTAGCAGATATATTCATGGATAGTTGGGAAAACGGCTCTATAAACCCTTAATCCTCTACTAAAAATATGGTGGCGATATGCGTATTTCAATAGGAACATATCGACAATTGCCTCACACATATAAACTCAGTAGTAGGCGCAATCCAATTCACTTGTGAGGTAGAAAATGAACAAGCAGAATCACCCATGTTGGATTGCAGAATAAAACGAGTGACAGAAGGTGGTCTACATACTACCGTCTACAACAAAACGGACACATTCTAACAGGTATCTAGACTTCAAGTCGTCCCATCCAATCTATGTCAGTTAAAGCGGGCTTAGTCAAATGTCTAAATGACACAGCTAGAAAACTGACTAGTCAGTGCAAGCACCTAAACAAGGAATTGAAACACGTAAAAGAGGCACTAATAGTTAACAATTATCCTCCACAATTTATCAAGAAATTCGTACGAACACATAAGAATCCAAATAATAGCAGTAACACGAGTACCAATAATAACGACTACTCAAGTAGGAAGGAGTTCACAGCCTCCATTGTGTCGCCCTACAAGCAAGGCGAATCAGGAACTTTACCTAGGATCCTCAACATACCTGAAATTATGGTGGCATTTAAATCTACAAACTCACTCAGAGATACGTTTTGCCAGCTGGCTTAAGCATCCGATACAATCAATTAAGCAAAATAATCTAATCTATCAAATTTCATGTAATGACTGTGACATCAAGCACATAGGTCAAAATAGTCGGTCGGGGTCAGCTAGAATAGTCGAACATAGGAATTTAGCCAAATATATAGAATGACAGATCCGAATAAGATTAATAATCTAGTAGGTAACTCGGCTATTGTATTGCATGCATTAACAAGTACACAATCACAGAATAGGGAGGGATAAAACCGCTGTACCTAAGTTTAATATAATTAGGTGGAGAGAGAGAGAGAGATTGTAGACTGAATCTTTGTTCATCGAATCAACACGCAACACATGTAATAGAAAAGACGTAACACCTATACCAGAGATATGGAAAAATTTGCTACCAATAGAAGTAAAGAATACGAGGTGTGACAGGACTATAAAAATTAGATGTCGAAAGTAGTGTGATTACATTGATATGATTATGAGCAATGATAATTTATGCTGGGAACGTCGTCATCAAGTAAATAATACTATATCACTGTGTGTTATAAATCAAATAAACAAATCTAATATGGAATTGAGCATCTTCCCCCGCAACATAATAAACTAGGTTTTAGGGCTGATATTAGATCTTATCTTATTGTATGTGATCCGTAGTTATAGGCAACCTTTTCTCTGAACTTACTTTACTAGAGTCTGCTAGTACTGGTTAATCTAAGCTACTGTGCTCGAACAACCTAAGTGAACTTAGTCAACTACTTTGACCTATGCATTTAAACGAAAGACAATTTATACGGATTTTTCAAACTAAATTATCTTGCCTAAATGTTTCAATAAGTGATAAATATCAATGTAGTTGTTGGGTAGTGAACCACACTTCTTGAGATTTTTACTTTCTCTACATTTGAACTGTCTTTGCGCCAAAACAATCCACAGTAATTTTTTTAGGTTTTTAATTCTTTCTGCTGCTGGTATATGGTGTTCTTTGCATATTGACTAGTATCTATCTATCTGGACGAATTATTCACTAACCTCATGCATGAGAAGAAACATAATGCGAGAGCTTTGATATGGTTTATAACTACTGTGACTGCATTAATCAACTATCTTATCTGGTGAAGTCTTTTAACACTAGCTCGGACTGGGGAGAGAAGTATAAAAAGTGCTTGAAAATCAATATTTTTGCCATAGGAATAACACTGCTGATCTGTCGTGCATTCAAATCCTTTCCCCAGTCACTAAAACTGTTTTGGATAGGATCCTATACTGATGCCATGCCAACTTCGACAACGCTAAATGATCTCTTGCCTCAGACACTACAAATGATAGTTCAGTAGGCGACAAGTGACGAGTTTAGTTAGCCGACAGGCCAACTAGTCACAGAATAACGATAAACGATATTTATCACAATCCCAGTGACACTGACATGTTCTTGAGGATTGTATAATAACGCACGCTAGTAAGTAACGGTTAACTGGTACACCAGATACCATTGACTCTAAAACCCCAGATGAGAGAGAGAATGAAGACTGGTCTGAATGGGAGGATTTACTGTCTCCGAAAACACTGCAAATATTCCGAAACATGTATATATAAATTCGAAAAGTTCATGTTTCTGGGTAGTTGTGTGATGAAATTTCCAACCAGATATGAAAAGCCAGAGTGGCACACATCAGTCTAGGCCACCTAAGGGGCCGTTGCGACGTTAGTCCGATCGTAAAAGGACAGGTCCACAACGTTTCGGTGCGAGCAGTTCTGCTCTACGCCTGTGAAACCTGGCCTCTCCAAGCGGATGTGCGATGACTTTGTGGGTTCGATCATCGTTGTCTCTACGAAATTGTCCGTATCCAGTGACAACACCATGTAAGTAATTCTGAGGTATGATAGCGTGTGTTTTGGCATGATGGGGATCGTCATTCAATAAGTGAAGTCATCTGGAAACATCGGCTTCGGTGGCTTGGAAATGTGTTGCTCATGTAATCCCAACGGCTTTCATAGCGTTCATTTTTGCCAGCCATGGGACTGGATGGAAGCGTTGGAGTGGTCAGTGTATGATGCCGTGGAATGAAAGATAGGTGTAACAGGTTAGCATCTATTGGTGCGTCACGACTTCATGGGAGGGGTCCGAAAGATTACGCAACTCAGTGGCTTGAAATGTTATCAGATATGGCTAAAAATCTAAACCAGTGGCGGTCACGCTGTAGCTTCTTCTAATGAAAAGTTATGAATGTCTTGTTTCGAATATACCTTACTGAACTGCCCTTCTAATCATGCTATTGTTATTGTTTTTCTTTCTTACTTCGTTACCAGCCAGCCAGAGTTCCTTGTTGCTTATTCTTTCTGGCAATCCATCTGATCTTCAGTATCGAGACAGCGTAGACAGCTGTTGTTGAATATCTGTAGTTTATTGGTAATCCTTTTCGTGACACGCCAAGTTTCTGGACCATATAGCAGCACTGACTTGACAATGGTGTTGAAAATCCAGATCTTGCTCCTGGTGCTGAGTGCAGAAGATCTCCACACTGTTTTCAGGTTAGTGAAAGCCTGTCTTGCTTTTCCGACCCAGCTTTTGACATCCTTATCTGTGTCGCCACCGCCGCCAATAGTTGAAAGGATGCTGCCTAGGTAGGTGAAAAAGACTACTTCCTTTAGATTTCTCCTGTTGATGGTGATTGGTGCTCGTTGTTGTTGACTGGGTATCTTCATCACCTCCAACCTTATCTTACTGCTGTCTTCACTTCACTTCAAAGACGTCACTGAGCTTTCCATTGTCAACCACTTGGCATGTAAAGCTTTGATGTTGAGTGAGGTTGTTAAAGGTTCGTGTCACTGAAACCATGGTGTTGATGTAGCTGTCTGCCAAATTACTTCTCTGTCGACGCTAACGAAGGCCTTTTCAAAGTCAATGAAGTTGAGGTGAAGATCCAGTTGACTGCCATTCTACACTCTCTTCTATGATAGTGTGTAGCATAGCGTTGCAATTTCATCTGCACACGATTTGTTCTCCATGAGGTCAGGCAGCCAGCCAGCCAGCCAGCCTGTCCAGGTCGTCATTTTGAATCCAGTGCATTGTTTAGTCTCTCCAGGATGATGCGGCTTCATATTTTGTTTGAAGTAGAGATGGACAGGAGCTCGATTCCTCGCCAGTTCTTGAAAAGACTTAACTCGCCCATCCTTCTTTGGGAGTTTGATGAGGTAGCCCTTCTTCCACTCAATGGGTAGGTACCTTTCCTTCCTTCCTTCCTTCCCTCCTTACAAACCTTCTGCAGTAGTGGTGTGATCACGTCCACTGGTGTCTCTGCGTCTGTTCTCAGTGATCTGGTGGAATTCAATCTGGTCCTGCTACTGTCCCGGCCCTCAACAACTTGGTGGCGTTCAAGACTTCACTTCTGATTTTGTCGGAGGGCTTGTGTTCACTGGTAATTCTGTGAGTGGACTGGGCTGCTGATGGTATTTCTGGACGAGTTGCAGGTGGTGGTGGTGGTGGTGGTGGTCGATTGAAGAGTTTTTTGAAGTGGTCAGCCCATTGTTTCCTTTGCTTCTTCTCTTTGGTAACTAGGTTTGCCTCACTATCTTTCATCGGTTTCACCTGAGTTGATCTCTTCCCAAATAGATAGTAACCTGGTTATTTGATATAGTGTTGTCAGGTGTCTGTCTCTCCTACATGCAGCCTGTTCTGCTTCGCTTGCAATGTGTCGCAGTTGAAGTATTAAGGACGTTAAAAATCATATTGAGGTAAATTCCTGAATTTAAAACTTCATTCTTTTGACAAGCCAATAGCTATTCATTTTACTGACCATAAAAATGAAAGAAAAAAAGGTTTATAAATATCCAGGTTATAGTTGTTACAAATGTCCTGAAAGTATTCCAGTGACGAGTCACTGTTTATCACTAAATAAGTTTTAATATAATTCCAGTGTCTTTAGAAAATGCATACGAGATTTTTCGGAGTTCTAGTTTCTTGAGTCGAAGAAGCAGCAGCAAAAGACAACGAAACATTTAGAAAAATCTTGTTTCGATCTTGTGAACAAGCTGGAATTTTATGAAAGCTTACTTTTATAATGAAAGGTTTACTTTCCTTCGACATGACTATAAACAACAAATTGTGTTGGAAACACCGTCCGGTAGATAACGCAGTACTACTATGCACTATATTAAAGAAACATACTCTACTACACATATATGAAACCTACAATCAAGTTGCGAAATGAAATTCCTAAGCATCCTGATTTTTTTGTACATTATGGCAGTGACATTCTTATCATTTTGCACCTCTCCACTGATTGCACAACTCCCTAATGTTCTTATTGGCTTGTATCACTCTTATTGTGCTAATTACTTGTGGTTTGTTCGGGTATCTTCGAATTTTAACAAAAAGGAACAAATCATTTAGTGTATTTTCAGCATATGCTATTGCTTGTATCATCCCGTCGTTGACTGGACCGAATTGATCGGTTTCTGTTGGCATATGGGCTCCTGCTTGGATGCCTTGATACTCCCTGTCATTTCAATGATGGATAGTAGCCAACATTGGCATCCAGGACACGCGCTTCGCTCTGTTTAGGACTGGTCAGATGGATGTAGCTACCACCTAGTGAAAGACGTTGTTCCTGCTAAGACTCGAACCCGGGACCAACCACTTCAAAAGCCATAGCTCTACCTACTAAGCCAACGAGTCACAACAGGGTGTTTGAAATCATTGGTTCTGGGTTCGAGTCTCATTGGGAACAACATCGGACACTGGAAGGCAAGCACATCCAGCTGACGAGTCGAAAATAGGACGAAACGAACGACCTACATTTCGTGACTAGCCACTAGCCATCATTACTATATGATTTGAACATATTTAAGGGATCAAAAACATTTTTTATCAATGTCTCAATGCGAAAATAGCTTCTTTAGCAGGAATAAATAGGTGTCTAGTAAATTCTAATACTTTATCACAAGGAAGGAAAGAATTTGAGTTGCATAAGAAGAGTTTCGAAGTTACAGAGTTACCCATTAAATAAGTGTAAACGACTAGTTGTATCCGAAACATCGTACAGTAAATAATACTGTTTTACTATGTGATACAGCTGATATATAATGTGGAATGAAATGTTGAGTTTATAATTTGATATAACCTATAATACTGAATACAATTCTATACGAAGTTTGAAGTTTCGATGCACAGAAGACTTTTCTCTGCTTGTACATCACATAACTGTGACGAAATCAAATGTAAATGAGAAAAAAATGGCGTATTCTTTCATAAGTCATTGGTGGACTAGAGATAAACGCCATCCATCAGTTAGCCTGTGATTGCAGGAGTTCCTGACGGGCGATGAAAACAGTATGATATAACCATTGAACATTATCTATACACATAACTATTACTTCAAAGTCCTTCGATTAACACACAGACTGTATTTCAAAATCTAACGAGTGATATAATATATCGTTTTTTAAATAAGCCACTGTATGGGGTAACAGGCAAACGGCAGAAAAATACGAGTTTCTTTCAAATGCAATAAACCCTAAGAAGACTAAGAATTTGACAAAATTGTAGGTCAGCTGACTTTGCAATTTGAGAAATTAAAAGTAAAGAAAACAAAGACTTATGTCAAGGGTGACCATTGAAAAGGTGATCACAGAATATAGAGAGATTTAATTAGGTTTGTGTGGATTTATTCATTGATTTCATGTTGATATTCACTGGATTCCGACCCAGTGGCTCAACAACGTGCTAGTTACGAAAACTGAAGGCCCTGGGTTCAATCCCTGGCAGAGTCATGTGCGCACATTGCTGAGGAGTCTCATGAAGGGACGAAACAGTTTTACAGTGCTCCCAGGTTTCCAGTAGTTCTCCAACTGATGTCATTCTATGGTGAATATCAGCCTGAAAGAAAATAGACCATGAATTCAGTAATCCGTTAAGAGAAGAAAGAAGTCGTGAGGGCTGATTCAAAAATGTAAACTACTATAAAGACAACTACTCTAGTTAGTTTTTAATGAAGATATACGTAAGTGGAGGGCGTGCGAATTCTTCATGTATGTATATGAACGCTGTTCCACTTTCAGTATCGTTCACGTGTGTGTAAACACTATGAGCGTAGTTAGTAAAAGAGGCAAACTAATGTAGGGGCTTATAAACCTTCATTTACCAGATGGTAGAGAAATGTTGCATGTATAGCAGACAGCGCAACGCTACATGGAATCGAATTAGCATGAAGGAAGCCCCTACTGATAATTAAACAAAGACATCGTAGCAATTCATACAGCTTCGGATAACAGGTCTCAGTCATGTGTAGAAATTTAGCTCTCTTAGTTGTGGTCCTTGAGAACACCAAAATCAATAGTCTGAATATTAGGAGCGAAGAATTTGAAAGTGGTTATCGTAAGACAGATGTATTCCTACCTTACCTTCTAATTACTCAACAGTATGCATGTTTCCACATAATTTATCTTACAATTAACTTGTAGATATTGATATCATTTTGTTTTTTTCCTTCAGGTGATTTCCCTGTACTTCGAAGACGCTGAATATAGTGACTGAAACAAATCGATAACTACATCCGGTCTCTTTGCTTATTTAGAGCTATTTGGAGTAGTTCGCTATAATTAGTTGAGAAAAAGACCAAATAACAAGTTGATGGAATAAAAGCTGACCTATGAGTTCATTATGATTGGCTTGTTGCTAGCAGTACTGTGTAACTGAACACATCAACATCAATGTGATTCCTTACTGTGTTCAGATGGTCATAAGCAATAATTTATGCTCAAAAAGTCATCGCGTAAATAATGCTGTATCACAGTGAGCTATATATCAAATAAACAAATCTAATGTAGAAGGATAGACGAAAAAATAGACAAAATCAAGGTAGAACCTCACACGCAAGGACGTTTCAAGTTGCCACACTTCACAGAAGTACACAAAAAATAGGTGGATAGAAAAAGAATGATACCAAAGTAATTAAAGTAATGTGACAGAATAAACAATCTGAAGATAACGTTAGTGCCAATAGTGAATTCATCTTCGATGCCGCTGTGAATGATTTTAAGCCGTCATCAAGAGTCCTCAACCACTGATTCCTATGGTCTCGGGGACCCTAACCAGGCAGGCTATACTCAACACAACTCAGATCTACAGACAGAGACTTCATGCACCAGTGTCACGTCTTGGTCTGGTCACCCTGAATCCTCTCTTCCAACTTCCCTAGCATGACACATCGAGGAAGGCAATGGATCAGCATGAGCAACACATGTTTAAGCCACATCGGTCGCCTAAGGTTCACAACCTCATCAATCAACTTATCTGTCTTCCCTAATACCCTTCACCTGACCTCAACATTGATCACACAGTGATTCCCCCAAACGCGAGGAATGCATCGAAGAGATCTATCATCAAAACTCTGTAACCATTTCATATAGACGGCCATGTCTCACAGCTACATAACACGAGAAAACAAACTGCAGCACAGTATACTCGTCCTTTGGTGGATAGTCTGATATCTCGCCAGTTGGTGCCACACATGGCGCAAGTTGGCAAATGCTAAATGGGTCCTCTGTATCCGATATGAGATTTCGTCAGCAACCACCCTATTCGGCTGACTGATGCAACTTCTCAAGGAAGTAAAGTGGCCGATACATTCCACCACTTCACTCCCTATCATTAAAATGGGTGTTTCCAACAGACTAGTCCTGAAGCATCATCTTACATTTGACAGGTGCCAACGAAACACATGCCGAACATCCTCAGATTTCTGCTCAACGCGTCTAAAAGACACTACATTTTGTTAGTGTCTCAGCCAACCAGGACAATACAATCACAATACTCGGAGTCAACCAGACAACTTCCAGTGAGTAGTTCAATAGTCTGTGAAGTCATAGGTACCTATGGTTATGTCCATTAGTACGTCGATAAGGAGGTCAACTGGGAACGGTGGTAGTGGATATCCTTGATGGAAACCACTAGTTGTTGTCAATTCTGATGACAATTCACCATAGACCCTTATACGGCTGCGTTAGCAACCAGAATACATTGATGCAGATGAGTGAGATACCTATGCACGTACCTCTTTCTAATGAAACTGTAGTCAAAAAGGAAGGTAAACTGTCAAATAAAAGCTAATGTTAAGTGAGTAAAACCTTTTTAATTGCACCGAATGCACTCATTATGAACTGATCATAGTGACACTAGATATATAAACTCACTTTGATTCAAACGGTCTGCTTTAGATGTGGAGGAGGAGGATGTGTCACCTTGATATTTACTTTTACGTGAAGTGCCTTCAGATAAGTGCTGTTTAGATTTATCCTGTTTACTGGACTTCACACTTATATTGGACTTTTTCGCACATGATAAGAACTTGCCTTTGCTAGTTGTCGATAAATATCTTTGTTTCGTTGCTTCAGCAGCTCGTGATGCAGCCGTGGTATGACCAACTTCATGCTTACTAGATTTATAAGTCATAGATTTATTAACTGAATGCCTGGATTGTTTAGTAGGTTTCAGAGCTGGAGAAGATGCTTCCGCCAATAGAGTTGATAAACGTGAAAAATTAACAGAACCTACTCCAGCAGATGGACGTGATCTACTCGTTACATTTCCAAACCCACCGCTTGAATTCCGATTATTTATTGGACCAGGAGCACAATACCATGTTGAATCAGGAATATGATAAAAATCGTGTATCTCTTTCCAAAGTCCTATAAAGTTTTCTGTACTTCCCAGACATTTTTCAACGGAATCATTTTCTGCGGTTATTGTATCTGAACATTTTTCATGTTGTTTAGTTTTTGGTTCATTCAACGAAACATCATCAGTAGAAGTTTGCTGTTTAGAAAGACTGTTACTTTGAGGCATATTTGTTTCATCAGATTCAGTACTAGTATTATCTAGTTTCTTCTTCGAATCAGAGAATGAGTTCATTTCATCTAATAAAGCGGCCAATTGACTGTCGTACATCCCAGACTCCACATTCAATAGAATGTTTTTCAACGAACTAGAAGAAAGAGGTTTAGAATAATAAGACATTTCAATCTTCATACGTGAAATAAAGACACGAAACTTCTATTGTACATAGTCTACTATTTCATCCCTTTAAAGATTCATGGAAGAAAGAGGTAATTTTAAAAATGTTTCGTGGTGATGAAACAACCATTTGAAAATCGACTGGTTTGTTGCTTGATTATCAAGCTGAGGCCTATCTGTATTACGTAATAACCAACAATACTAAACATGAAGATCTAACTAACTGGCTCCGGAAATTGATTTTGATATAGTGAGTCCTGAGTACGAACCCCACTCTGCCTATTTCAGCCTAGAAAACCAGACAGCAAAATAACACCCCACAAGATAAGCATTCCTTATAACCTTGTACATAAACATGTACCAGGATAAGTGATACTGGAAGCGTGAGGATGACTGACACTTTCCTGCTACCAAACCGTGAAAGAGTACCTGAAAGAGAAAAAGACTTGAGGGACCCCAAAGTCTATTGAACACCTGCTTGAGGCCTATCACAAATAGCTTTTCGCGGAGTGTTATTTTTTTTTGGTTGTTCTAACGCTCGATAGAGAAAACCCATACCGCTGGCACTGGAAGACTACAGGGTAGGGAGGAGTGTCCTATTTTTAGGGTGAATCTGGGAAACAACATTACTGCTGTCACACTCCATTCAGTTATCAGTATGACATCACCTTCAGACCCCCCCCCCCCCCCGCCCATCATAGTGTAGTAACTCACACTACAAAGGTAACTGCTTTTCGTCTTATCACTATCCAACAGACCTTTCTAGTATGATAGGACTTCGAGGGAAAAAACGTTCCAGCCAAAGTAGTTCGCTGGGTCATTGTAATAAGAAAAGCTAACGACTGCGTCGAGGTAGCAGCTATCCGCAGGGTTGTGGCTAGCAGTGGTATTCAGAACGTGCGTTCCATCCTCATCAGCTGGACGTCCCTGTACCCCGGTGAGTGATTTTATCCCCACCGAGACTTGAACCTCCTAACCATTGCTTTAAAGGCCAAATTGCTATCTACTAGGCCACTGAGCCACAGGATAAGTTACATTATTTATCAATATATCATCAAACAAGAGTTGGTAAAAATGGTCCAAGACTGTAATAAAATAGTTAATATTTGGATGCTTAAAACGTAGATTAACATTTAGACTACGTGACACAAAAGTTTTTTTTGAAGATTATATAGTGGTTCTGAGTAACCTGCAATAAAATTTCAACCAGTTAAGCATATTCATTGCATTCGAAAAAATGAAACAACACTTTCATGCAGAAATAATGTCTTATGTTTACAAATGTGCGCTAAAAATGAAATAACTTTAAATTAATCAAGTTAAAAGTTGATTTACCTGTAGTAATGTTGACCATATCGTATACGAGATCTCAACTCTTCTGCACGTTCAGCACTCAAACGCTTTACAACACGTTCAGCTAAACTTAGTTGACTTGACTGAGAATCACTTCCTGGCATTTTCTGTCGCTTAACTAATTCAATGGAATCCAAAAGTAAAGCGTATTGTTTAGCACATGCTCTAGATGAACACCATGTAGATGGTCGGCCAGGTCTAGAAAAACACACCATACGACGACTGGTAGCAGACCAACTTCCTTGTTGATTATCTACATCTAAAAGAGCTGTAGCTAGCGCCAAACGTTCACGTAAAGGCCATACACCCTGTCCATATCCAGGTCCGAGAAGTCGTTCAGAAGGAACGGGAGTAAGTGGGTCGTTATTCATGCAATATCTGCAGACACATAAACGAAATATCTATGAAGAAAGCTGTGATATATTCATGAGAGAATAAACATATGATACATTCGCATCTCCACAACGATCGCCACAACGGTAATGAATATCATAGGTGTTGTGAGCTGTTTGAAAAATCAGAGGATAGTGCAAATATGCTGCACTGATTATTTCTTGAAGTCATACTTACTATGATAGCTAAACGATGGAGTTGAGATATTTGGTTCAGAAGTCTTTAAATGATGAAACGTTGCTAGCGTAAACTGGAAAAGGAAAACATTCACCTCCTTAGGAGGTCTACTAGAAAGAATTTAATTCCGAGATGACTCTCCAGTGTAGTCAAACTGAGTTCAATGCTCCATTAAGCTAACAACTGAGAAAATATCAGTAGTCTACAAACACCATATAACAAACTCTGGTTCCCTTAAAATCAACCAATTAGTTATTAATGCACTGGTCCTATCTCAGTAATGTCGGAAATAAATAAAGAATACCGTTTGACTATCTGAGATGGCCGTAGTTTAGCAGACTAGTATTTATACTGGGTGATGATTGAAGGTGAAATGACAATCCGGCCGCGGTCCAGATTTGTATTTCACCTTCAATCATCACCCAGTATAAATAAAGAATACTAAATGTTTTGATCATTCAGATACAATGTGTCGTTGCAAACTACAGAAAACGCTACATTATAAATGTATTCGCAGAATACCCCTCAAGTACCGACTCAACATATAGTTCACAAACTATAAAACATCATTATTATATCAGTTACCCTAATACGTTTAGCTATCAACTACACGCAGAGAGCCGAATGGATGATTAATCAGATCACTGCTGTCAGTGAAAGTGGATAATGATCTGAGGGAACACGAAGTCTGACAAAGTTGTGAGGGTAGTAGACAATCCCCAGCTGCTTAGACCATGGAGGACTAGTTCTTCTTGAGGTACGTGAAAAAGAAGGGTTAGTGCGTAACCGTAAAGCCCAAGGAACATCTGTCTGAGGCCAGTAAAATATGGCCTTTTCATAAATTTGAAACTCAAGTTTGTTGCATTCGTATCAGACCATGAATCCATGTTGCACGTATGAACATGCTGTTGGACTACGGAATGTGCGACCTTTTCTACCCTCCACCCCTTCCATTCCCATAGAGAAGGCAGCATTGGCATAGGATTGCTGGTCATCGACCAGAAACACCTTACTGTTATCAGACCCCAGCCAGCCAGCAGTAGGACTTCACCCCGGACCGCTGTTATAGCACAACAAGGTGAACACCATAATGGTAACTGCTATGGTAGAATCTCGAAGGAACAAGCGTCCCACCTGCATAGCTCGTTGGCTCATTACGATTTACAACCCCCACCACTACATCAAGATAGCAGCTATCGGTTGAGCTGTCGGTAAAGATCCCAAAGGAAAGAAACAATGCATCAAATGACGACAAATTTCTTTCCATAAATTATTCTTTCAGTACTGAAAAGCTGATGAGTAAGAGGAATTTAAAGATGTTGTACAACTGACTAATAAAAAATACTTGCGCGACTAGCACAATTGACTATGCACCAGCTGTACACTTCATTGAATCTAACCATGAGATAGACTATTAATGTGGCGTCCAAGGCGAGTAAATTTACTTTATGCAGAAGTATCCGGTGATGAACAAATTCTCCAATAAAATAAAATATGTTGCAACATGTCATTGCATTATATCGCTTTTCTTGAAATAGAAATGTACTCAGCAATCTTGTACACATTCGTCCAGTAGGCAATGAGCCACACCTATTGTGTGAGGGCTTTCTAAACCTCGGTAGACAGGGTCGGGTTCGAACCTGTGACCTATTGGTTAAAAGTCATCTCCCTAAAACAAAAAGCCACAGCTCGTGCTGCTTTTTTAGAGATTCATCATACAGATATGACATATTTTTCAAAATGTACAAAAAACTAGCTAAAATAGATAGACAGGCAGATACATACACACAAACACACACAGAAGAACGAGCAGCAATGTAATCTTTTCTGAAATTGTAAATAAACAAAACAAAGTGGGCAAAATAAATTAGGAAGGGAAATCAACTTCTAAAAAATTTCAGAAACACAAAACTATACATGAACAAGTGTAGAGAATAAGTTCTTCATTTTAAAGAATTCACCGACGAAGACTTTTTTCACACTAATAAAACAAAATTTACAAAGAGTGCAATGGTTTATCCACCAAAAAAGAGAGTAAAATTTACATATTAAAACATAATAATGATAATGATAATAATAAGGATTAACAAGAGTTACTCTTGACTGTATAAAAGCTGAAACGTTGAGTTATTTCAGTCCAACCGAAACGATCAACAAGCTTATCAAGTAGTTCAGTATCTGTTGAACTCAAAGATTCATCATCTTCAGGTAACCAAGGAGGTAGACTAGACTCGTTCACTGATGATGGTTGACGTGTACCAGTTGTTAAAAAATTGTGCGCTTCTCTAACTGAACCATTTGTCATGCTGACAAGTAGTATAGCTTGTAATTGTGTTGTTATATAAGGAGAATTCATCAACTGTGAAATCCATAATGGATATGAATAACTCGTCGATGGTAATGGAACAGACGAATCTGATGTCATGAATGATGAATGAGACTAAATGTCATAAAAGATTTCAAATAAAGAAAAAAGAAGTCATGAATAGTTATTCACTAGGAAGAAAATTAACAGTTTACTAAATCTACAGTCTTTCAAACATCTCCTTTCCAATAAGAATTAATCTTTGGAGCCATATGGCATTGATTACAGTCTAAGACTAGGATTTATGTCCTAAACTATATGAGACTCCATACTAAAAAACTAGTTTAACAAATACTCATACACTTCTCATAGAGTAATATCTAAGCCTATCCAACATGATGAATACCTTCGATCGACATCTCAATAAAATGAATTAGCGAGGTAATAATCCTGCCACCTACTTTCCCGTATATAAGAACCGATAAGTGCACATTAAGTCGGTATGATCTGTTGATTGCTGCCACTTTTAGTCCTGACTCCTGTATCTTCTTCTTAAACGCTTTACACATAAATCGATCTAGGTTAATTGTTACCTTTGCATTTAAGGCACCTAGATATTATAATGTTGAGTAAACTGCGTACGCTATTCGATAAATTGAGTATTTCATACACTTGATCCCTTTAATGAACTTGAATAATGCAAAAAGAACACCATTTCTAGGACAAGATGATGTCATTTCATTTCACAAGGTTTTCGTCAGCTACATATGACCTGAATAAATCAGCAAATAATCGCTATACCAAATATTAACACACCTTATATGGAATGTTTCAGGATACCAACAGAGAGAGAGAGAGAGAAACTGTGTTACCAAGAAAAAGTGCTGGAATAATTTCAACTGATCAAACAATGATCTACACAATAATGGTTATCCCATGAATGGTCGATAAAGCCACACGACTTTTGCGGACTGAGGTACGATGCTTTTTTACCAATTTTTTTCTCAGACCAATACTATATGTACAGGTATGATTATATATTTTTTTCTCGAAACTTCGCGATATGTTGAATGGTTGTGAATGAATTCAGAGGCTTGTTGGAAGGATCTAAGTAATAATGGTGGGTGCTGTAGACAATTTTGACAAAGCACTATATTGCGTTCTCTTTATACTTCTGTATTGCTGCGATATTGGTTGGTATTATGTATTTACTTGTAACTCCTTGTTTTTAAAAACAAGAATACTGACGTTAGATAACCACAAGTAGTTCCATTGATATGATGAACATTACAAAAATAAAAAACAATAGTAAATATCAAGTATGTAAGGCAACACTTACAGTATCCTGACATGATAAATAAGAAGTAATTGATGGTACTGGCAATGATGGTGATTTAAATGATAATGAACTACTCGAAGTAATCCCCAACTCATTTGATTTTAACTTTGCTAGTTTATTCGCCCTAATAACTGCTGGTGGTATAGGACAACTGTTACAAAGTCTTTGAGGACTTCCAGGAGAAGACGAAGTAGAAGTAATTCCTGGTAATGATGATAAACTGGACACTAGGAAGAAAATATGCACAGAAAAATATACAAAGTCGCATAGTTTAACAATAAGATTTACTGAATAACGCCCTAGTGGGTAACGCTTTGGCGCTTGAAGCAATGGGTAATGGGTTCAAATCTCAGTGGAAACAACATCACTCACTCAGATCCGAGTACATCCAGCTAACGAGTCCCGAATAGGGGGAAACGAGCGTCCTGGATTCCAACTGCTAGTCGCTAAATAGATTATAACAAAATGAGCAATCGGACAGTATCGAGCCATTCGCATAGGAGCCCATCTGCTGACAGAGGTCAAGCAACTCTGTCCAGTAGAGTAAAGAGAGGTTAAAATAATAATAATAATGATAATAATAATAACTTTATTCCAAACAAGACTTGTGGTACAATATAGAATTCTCAGAATGTAATAGTTCAATAAATTCATTCCCTGTACAATATCTTTAAGCGAAATAACCACTGCATTCGAAATAATGTTAATTAAAGCAGTAATAAAAGCTACAATGTGAAACAGGCACGTGGTATTACATTAGCGCTTAGTTCGGACTGGTGAACGAATAGCATATCAACATCTTATACACATTCACGTAAGTAGAACATAGAAAAAATCCTTTTTACAAAGGGATCATTACGTACATTTCACCCCCAATTTCTATAGAAATCCATTCTATTCAGCACTATTTGTAGTGTGAAAAGAAAATAATGACAATACATACTTCCAATTCAACAATCGTAATTTCAACATAGAAGATAGGTAAATAAATCAACGTAGAACTTTACACAGAAAGACACATAAGTTCAAGCTGCGCGTTTCACAAAAACAAGAAAATAATGACACTGAGGTGAACAAAAGTGTTTAACAAATAATAAATAAGTGTAGATTAATAAGATATCTAAATTTTCGAGGTTAAAAGTGAGTGTATGCCCACAACTGCAATCGACCCTAAGTTATGTGTCACTAAGACTCATCGACTGTTGGTTACTGTAATCTTGATAACCATAAACAAGCACTTAACGTGACTCAGATCAAGAGTTAGAGACCCTATGGATTATTGTCATGTTTTGTTGCGATCACCAACAAAAAAACATTTTAAAGTTGGTATTCATCATGGACTGACATCAGTTGGAGGAACCTTTAAAACGTAGGAGCACTGAACAGCTAGCTGTTCCGTCCTAGTAAGGGCCTCTTCAGTAGTGCGCACCCATGACCCCGCCCCTAGGGGTCAAACCCAGGATACTCAGGTTCCTTGGCCAGTACGTCATCATTGAGCTACCAGGTGGGAATCCACTGATCTATATTTCCAACTTCTGTCAGTTTACGACATAGCATGACCATCTCCCAATGTCACTGTTGATTATTTGTCTTCACTTCCACCAGGTCTGCCCACTGGTCACAACTTCTCATTGGAACTTCAGGAACCAGTTCTTGAACCTAGTCACCAATGAGCGCTAGATTGATTCAATTTGGGGATTTGTGCGGATTTGTTGATTTTTGAATACCAACTTGAAATTAACAGATCCCCACAAACCCCCAAACTGAAAAAAGGTTCATTGAAAACCTACACCTAACGTGGTTACTTAGTGATACTCAGAAGTTGTACAATAAGTTTTATTTTTCCATCGTCTTTAATGCGCTACTATGCATATAGTTGTTTACAGAGGAACTACTGACAAAAAATTCCGAACACTGAGACGAGGTACTATCAGATTTCATTGTCATCCAAAATTTGTAAAAATCCAAGCAATCGAATCAATATCATAGAAAAGCTATCGGTAATTGGTTGGATGTCGCATGTTGGTTTAGGGAGATGACTTTCAACCAATGAATCACGAGTTCGAGTCCCGCTCCACCTACCAAGGTTTGGGCAAGTAGCCAAGTAATATCATCAGCCCTCACACAATAGGTGTGGTTCACTGCCTACTGTAAGAATGTGCACAAGGTTGCTGAGTGCATTTCAACCTTCCCAATTCACCGGTGGTTACCATCTATCTAAGTTAGTATTCGCTAGAAATTAAGTGTATGCTTTGATGTTTCCTTGAGCTTTTCTTTACACGCAATGCAGAAGCAAAAAGACACCACAGATTAGTGAGATTTGCGTACAAGCATTGAAATCAACAGAATCTAATTGGTTTCCTCAAAATGCTTATACACAAACAAAGGGAAAGAAAAATACAGTGCAATGAGTTTCTTTATTCCATAATAATAATTATGTCAAATCATTTTTGATAGTCTTCCAATTCATCGAAGTTTTCAACGATGGAGATTTATTAGATAAGAAGAAAGGGTCACTACTAAAGCAGGATTTTTTTTTAAACGGGAGGGCTTATCCCACTGATCACATTTGAATGACTTTAAAGACCCCCCCCTCCCCCACCTAGCAACTACTGAAATAACAGATGAGGTTTATTAACTTCGTCTCAAAAGCTACATTTTCCCACAAATTAAAGAACTCAATTGCTAATTTCAGTTGATGTTAGGGCAACCCTATAAATTCACGTTCATATTTTCAAGAATCCCGTCCATATACTAGGAGATCACTTCAACGTAGTAGCAAAAATCAAATGATATTCATACAACTAAACAGTGCCACTCAGCAGTTGGACCTCGTAGCTCAGTTGGTAGAGCATCAGGTCGGAAACCTGGTGGTCGCTGGCTCGAATCCGGCCGCGGTCCAAATTTTCATTTCACCTTCAATCATTACCCAGTATAAATACTAGTCTGTTAAACCAAGGCTACCTTTTTCAAAATGAAAATCAGTCAATATTTACAAGAAAGTATGTGACTGATGAAAGGATTTTCTAAGCCAAATATCTCAAATACCAGTACACTACACGATTGAAATGTAACCTGGTAGAGTTAAGTCAGTTTAGCACTAGGTAAGGGAAATGAATATATCTGTAAAAACTCAATGAAGTAGAAAAATAAATTTCTGACGTTCCACCACCTTGTAAAAACCATTCCTGTAGGAAATAAAACGTACAAAATATCGCATATTCATATAGTAAAAATGGAGACAGATCACAATGTTCATGCATAAAATTAATGTAATATGGGAATAAGTGTCATCGTTATCAGTCGTTAGTCTCTGATCTGAGTTCAAGGTGAAGATGTGAAAGTGTGGGGAAAGCAATACGAATGAAGAATTCAGTTTGTTTGTGTGTGTGTAAGTACTTTAGTTACGGTTAGTGTTTGCAACATGTTAGTTCAGATGTACTGTACAAGTATATGGTTGGATAGTTAGGCCTTTCTTTTCATTGAATGAATTAAGATTCCAGACAATGTAAGATCCCTCAACTATCCATCTACCCATTTAGTTTGAAAATCATTTTCGAATAATTTTCACATTACCGTTATCAATTTTCTGGCCATGATGAAGAGCGATTGGTGATTTGATTTGTAAATTATTTCATTCCATTGTACGAAATGGGATTTTGCCCAATGATTCCCCAATACAATAAGCATCACAATCGATGTAGAAATTGTTTCAGACTATAAATAGCTGATGAGAAAGCGTGAAATAGAATGGATCCATGCTACTCTGCGAAAGCTGTTGTTCTCGATCGATTTAAATTTGTGAAGGGAATTGTGTGGACTAATTTGTTTCCATCTCCTATTTGAATACACGATAACTTGTACAGGTTTCATTTTCTGTAGATGTGACTACCGCGAGGTCGCAGAAGGTCAGAAAATTATTTTTCTACCACATTAGGACTGTAGAAATAGTTCTCCGCCATAAAATACCCGTATTAAAGCTGAAGTGATGAAGGTTTTTCTCTCTCCCTCTACACATTTCATTAAAAAGCCTCATTTATTAGATAGAATAGTATCTAGAATGACATTAACTTCTAGGACAGGTATGAGTCCCGTGAAGATGGCGTATACGTCATCCTCAGGAACGCTAACAACGATGAAACCTAGATGTGAGGAAGATTGAGATCCACTCAGCAACCTTGTGCACCATAATACAGCAGGCAATGGGTCACACCTATTGTGAAGCCTAATGGTGCTATCTAACTGCCCAAACCTAATTAGCGAAGTTCGAGCCCATGACTTACTGAGTGGAAATCAAATACCCAGATCAATAAACCAAAGCTCCACGAAACTCAGACCCATACTTTCCTGTTGCCTATTTTCAACCATACAACAGGTTATCATTTTCTAGTAACTATGTGTTACAGCTCTTATTATTCTTGGAAAAGTGCTTTCAGACAAATGAAGCAGAACTCTATTACCAGTAATGTAATTACGATGATAGATTGTAAAACGATCCAGAAAAATCACTTCTATAACACAAGATCTTGCAAGTAACTTGGTTGTAGCTAGCAGTGGAAACCATGATGCCCATTTCGTCCTAGTTGGGACTCATTAGCTGGATGTAGTCATATGAGAAGAGAGATTGATCAATTCAATCCAGTATAACAACGGAGAATTACAAGTTTCAACAAATAACAATAAATAAGATCTTACATTCTATGGCACAATTCTGGAGCGAAACTCCATTTTTTTTACATTGAACAGTTTCGTGAAAGGGTGGAATTTGTATATTGGTAGTTTCATTTGAGTGCGGCTCGGACAGTCGATTACTATGGGCAACTTCCGTGACAACTGAGTTGGTTTGACTTGAAGTCAAACTACATTCATCAATTGAGTAGGATACATGATAAATATCCACATTATTGAGATCTGTACAATCCATTGGATTACTGTTTCGTTTTGAATGTCCAAAAAAGACATCAGACATTTCTTCTCGCTCACTTTTCGTGAGTTTATTCATCAAACGAGCATAAGTAGCGTTCATTAAATAATGACGAAAGCGATTACGCATTGATTCAGATGAATGACTGGTAACGCGTTCTTTAGCCATCTTTCTCCAGAGAGCTCGACTTCTGATTCGCCTATGTTGAGTGTTTTTACAAACACGAAAATAAAACAAACGAAGAAGAACTGATTACATTCGTTATTGCAATTAAATGATAAACACTGACGTCTTTGGATGATCGCGAACTAAATCAAATACGCAAGAATAATAAACTCATTAAAATAAAAATTGAAGTTTATAACTACCATCTGTATACAATACAGATAGTAATAGACCAGACCCCAGCTGGCGACATCAAAGTTCGAATAAGTGGGGTGACATGAATACCAAACCGGGAGCAAACAACACAGGAAGAGAACTCATCATGGGTCGAGAAGCACTCGGTGAAATGATGAATGAGAATGGAGAACTGTTTGCAAACTTCTGCACATTCAACGATATGGTGATTGGAGGCAGTGTGTGTGAACACAAGGATATTCACAGAGCGAGCGACATGGATTTCACCAGATACCAGGATATACTACACTAAAAATCAGATCGAATTCACCTCAATGTGAAGAAAGTCGAGACGCAGCCAGCCTACTGGACACAACATCAGATCAAGAAGGGGAGCACATGTAGGTTCACACCATGAAGAGAATATGGTGGTTTAGACATAACTATCTACAGAAAACCATCTAGACTTTAGTTCATCTCACCCAATATCAGTAAAGATAGACTTAGTTAAATGCTTGAGCAGTAAAGGTGAAAGCCTCTTCAGTAAGTTAACAAATGTAAATAACGAAATAAATACATAAGAGAAGCCTTACTTCTTAACAATTATCCTCCTACAACACAATTTATAAGCAGTTCAAGGCCAATGTAGTACTGTAATATCAGGATTCTCAACAAGGTTGGGAGTAGGTTGGCATTCAAACCTACGAACTCATAGACAAACCTGGTCGGTTTAAGGTTTATAAAGGCCCAATTTAGACAAAACTGTAATGTACTAAATAAGTACTGTGCAATGACTGTGACGTTAAGTAAATAGGTCAAACTAGCTTAAAAGAGTCAGTCAGGTTGACGAAACATAGGAACCTGGTTAAATCAAAATTTATAGACTCTACTGAGATTACAACACTACATGCCAAGTGATTGACAATGGGAAGCTCAGTGACTTCTTTGAAGTGAAGTGAAGACAGCAGTAAGACAAGGTTGCCACCTACTAACACCGACCATCTTCCTGATTGTGGTCGACTGCACTGAACTGGATCATGCAGCAAACTGTGAGGAGTGAGAGGATGTGTATACGCTGGCTGGACCGATGGAAAGACCCTAGAAGATTTGGATTTCGCCACCGATGATGATTTACATATGTCTAATGTCTTGCCACACAAACTCGATGATCTGCAGGCGAAAAGCAAGAAGTTTGCAGAAGAGGCGTGGCGAGACAGCGAAGTCGGGAATGACTTCAGATGAAGGTAGAGAGGACGGAGGTGATGAAGATACCCAGTCAACAACAACAACAACAACAATATCAACAACGAGGACCAATCACCATCAACAGGAGGAATCAAAAGGAAGTTGTCTCCTCCACCTACCTACTTACCTACCCCCTACCTACCTACCTAGGCAAGGCAGCATCGTTCCAATTACAGGTGGTGGCACAGATGAGGATGTCAAAGCCAGGATCGGAATGACCGACAGCAAGACAGACCTCCCTTCATTAATCTGAAATCAGTGTGAAGATTTACTGCACTGCACTTCGCTGCACAGCACTGCGCTCAGCATGAAGCGTGAAGAAGATGCGGATTCTCAACACTAATGTCAGTCAAGTCAGTGCTTCTATATGATGGTTGAGACTTGGCGGTGCGTTACAAAAAGCATTTCCAACAAACAACTGCGGACATGCGTCATCGACAGCTGCCGTCCACGCTCGCTTGCTCACTCGATACTGACACTGGAGATCAGATTGATGGGGAGAAAGAATAAGAATAAGCAACAAGGAACACACTGTGGCTAGCTGGTAACGAACCAACCAGGAAACTATCGCCCAGCAAATATGCAGAAGGAGGTGGAGATGGATGGGAGTGGACATACACTGAGAATACCGTTTGGGAACATTAAGACGCCAGGTCAGGCCACACCAGACCCTCAAGTGTAATCCGAAGGGGAGTTGACGAGTTGGGCATGGGAGGGTGACATGGAGGAGATTGTGTGAGGAAGAAATGAAAGCTTGTGGGCAGTGGTGGAGCTAGGTTCAAAGGACTGCAGAGAAGAGAGTGAAATAGCGACGTGCTATTAAAGCACTATGCTCCACTAGTAACCCAAGAGACAAATAAAAAATAACAATAATAATCTGTATACAGTAAAAGGAAAAACATTTCACAAGTTTACAAAAGCGATAAGAAATATATAATGTCATACTTCCAAAGATTTTTTTCTACCAAGTAGTTTATTATGGCTTCATCCTCTTTCAAATTATATCGTTTCTTCCCAAATCGAGATGAACTTTTTAAACATCCAGTCTCGTGGTTATTATTATCATTGTTATTATGATTATTATCTTTATCACTGTTATTGGAGTTACTGATCTCAGCTGCAGTACTAACGTTTCGATCGTGATTATTAGACCTTCCCATTGCAGGAAGTAAAATCTGTCGAATGTGGGTACGTATAGATTCTGCACAATGATTTGTTACTCTTGCAGCTTCTAAATGCTTGTAAGTTGATCGTTTGTTCAATAGCCTGTAAAATAAGCAAGTAATGCACACATGAACAGCAAAAGTGAGAAGTCTGATAATTTTATTAATATTAGTGTAAAACTTGGGCACTATGGTATAATGTGATTTCATATTAGATTTGTTCATTTGATATCAATCAAATCAATGAGTATTAAGATAGGAAAGGACTAGGCATTACTGTAAAACGGCTCAAGCTGTCACATCTCATATCACGACAAGTAGCAGTGCAGTAAGATGAGAGATGAAAAAGAGAGGAAAATCGGTCAAAAGCAACAGAAAGTAATAAAAGAGAGGAAGGAGGAATGAGAAAATGCTGAATTCAATATAGCGGTTACGATTAAGTGTGGATATATCTACACCACTGACATCGATTCCCAGTCACATAACCTAGAGTCTCTAACCATTGGTTTCTGTTGTCACATGGATCCCAACTGGTTAGTCTGTATCTCTCTACATGGCTTAAACCAAAGGGTAAAGAATTCATGCAGTGAAGCCAGCCAGAGCTTTATTCCAGCCTGAACCTCCCTTCAGCACACAGTGATGCGGAATTATTTACTTGATGACGTTTCGAGCATAAATTAGTGCCCATAATCATATCAATTTAATCACACTACCTTCAACATCTGATTTTTATAGTCCTATTACTTCACATTCTTTGCTTTTTATTGGTAGTTAAGTTTTCCATATGTTTGGCACAGGTGTTACGTAACTTGTATTACATGTGTTCCATGTTGATTCGATGGACGAAGATTCAGTAACCGATCTCTTTCTCTCCCTTCATATACCTATGCTGGACATTGGTTTTATCCCAGCTTATTCTTTAGTTGTATATTAGTGCATGCATTGCGGCAGCCGAGTTTTTTCTAGATTACTAATCCTATTGCGGTCTATCATTCTACATTTAGCTAAATTCCTATGTTCCAATAATTTAACTGGTAATTTTATGTTTGAGAAATGAATAACAGGTCATCAGAACTTTTTAAGTTTTCTTATCTTTGGAGACCAGTAATCTGATATCAGTGTAGTGGGCGTTCCTTCCTTCGTCTCTTTCTTCTCGTTTCCTTCATCAGTTCGACTTCGTATCATCAAATAAATACCAAAAAGATAGTGATTATACAACCAGCTGCAAAAATATCCTGATGAAGTAGTCGCTTATTCGCAGGATCATGGTAAGTAGTCTGGTTGGAAATATTCACAAAATCAGGAATTATCTTTGGTTACAAATATGCGTTACCAGGTTATTTGTAGTCCCAACACACTGTCATCTGATACTTAGTCAATAACGATTTACCGTCAACTGGGTATTACTTGTGTATATTTAGTAATAGTTGAAGGATAAGAATTATAGTCATATCTTTACAGGATAATAGATTAACGGAATAAAAAATAAAAGTGAAATTTTAAGTGTACACTACGACTACAAACTCTATTGTACACTACAGTAAACTCAACAATACAAAATCCCACTTTTTAGTTTCATACAACAACAAAATTTAAACGTGTAAATGAAGCTATGCGTAGAACTTATACAAATTTGTCTGATTTACTTTACTTGACTATCACCCAACATTTAATTCACACTGGAATATGAACGTACAGCAAACAGGGTCTTTTACGATACGAATGTGACTACATAGCATTAGCGCACAAAAATACTTCTAAATTACTATAGTTAGTGAAATACCAATAAGAATGTACTCATACTAAAGAAATAAATAAGTGTACTCATGAACGAACTAATGAAATGCATTCAGCTACCCTGTGTGCACATCCGTGGAGTAAGCAATGAACCACACCTGTTGTGTGGGGCCTAGTGGCACTATGTGGCCTCGGTAGATGGAGAGAGACCCGAAACCACTGACCCATACCCACAGAACAATAGTGACAAAACACATTCCTGCAAGTAGAAGCAAAAAGCCTCAGTCCGAATTTATTGAGTTATTAATCACAGAAACGTAGTGATACGATACTTTTATCGCACAAAACTTTAATTGCTCATATGGTCTTTAAAGTCATAAGCTGATAATCAGAATACCCAGAAACCACTCTAGATAGCTAGAGATGATTGAGAACTGTTACATAAAGGTTGAGATGTATCTAAGGCGAATTTAACTATAACAACAGTGTAAATTTCAGGACTATAACAGGATAAACTAGTCTTTTCTCAGTGTGATATCATGTCGATAATGGTTACAACTATACATTACACGATTTTTAATCAGTATTAAAAGGAATGTGACTTGTCTATTTCTATCAAAACATCCTAAAAAACAGTCTTCTCAATCGGTAGGTATCAGTTTATAATTACCATAATACGTTCTGTCCTTTTTACGGTTGTGAAAAATGGTCATCAAAAGTAAAAGATATGAAGCGGTTACAGATCTTTGACCATGAATGTCTTCGTAGTGTTGCTCGTGTATGGTCAAATTACCATGTGAGCAATATTGAGGTTAGACGAAGGATACTAATCAAGACAAGCAAGTAGATTGATGAGGTTGTGAAACTTCATCAGATGACCTGGCTTGGACATGTGTTTCGAATGCACAGTCACATGCCATGATAGAAGTTGGATTAGGTTGGGAGAGGGTTCAGGGTGGCCGGACTGAGACGTGGCACCAGTCGACAGAGTCCCTGACTGTTGGTTTGAGCTGCATAGTTAGGTGTAGATCACCTGGCTGCGGTCTCTTAGACCACAGGAATCAGCGGTTGAGAACTTTTGATGACATGGCCGAAAATCGGTAGCAGCGATACAGATGTATTCACTTTTTGATGTCTTCTAAAGCCTGAATATTTGCAACAACTGTTATCTTCAAATTGTTTTTTTCCCCACATAACTTTGTCTTTTCCTATCCACCTGTTCTTTGTATGCTGATGAGAAGTATGTGGCAACCTGGACCGATACATTGGTGTGCGAGGTTCTACGTTGATTCCGCCTTTTTGTTTCTTAGAAAAGAAACTTCAAGCTTACATATATATATATATATATATATATATATATATATATATATATATTATCTTCATGGCCAACATCCCTCCATACAGACGTCTGTGGCTACTCAAATTAGTGATTTTAAGACTTACAGTTAACATATTGTATAACCGTTTACGTATAAACGGTTACGTCAAGGCAACTTCATAGTTTTGAGACAAGATTAGAACTAGACTAAAAACATCTTATTTGTGAGTTTCACCTTGATGTAAAACAAAGATATAACAAAGAAGACAATTTTCTTTACGATGATTTTATTTACTAAAGCTGTATAATGTCAACGTAGAACCTCGTACACAAGTGTAATATACCTGGAATCGGAGTGATATATTGAAAATTCTACTACTAATCAAATCAAAGAATAGAAAAACAGTACATTCAATGAAAAAAACCCAAGACAGGATGTTGTGTGGTTACCTTCACATGAATATGAACAATAGATTGTGCTCGGAACATAGTCCAGTAAACAATACTATATTACTGTGTGTTTTATCAGATCGACTAATCTAGAATGGAACAAAATTTTGCCACTGTGCGAATTTCATGCTTCCATTAATAAATTAGTGGTACTACCCAACGCTGCAAGATTGAAATACCTAAATCGAGGTCAGAACCACAAAGTCATGTAGGCATAATGACTAATCAATATTGGAAAGATTTTAACTATTATTACAGGCCTCATAAAAATGTCGAAAATGTGCTCCTAACATTCAAGAATTTCAAAATCAACAGAACTTTGTGGTTTAATATCCATACTAAACGAAAAAATATAGAACAGTTAATTTAGTGTTACCCATAACTACGCTTAAACCAAGAAAAAACTCACGGTAAAAGTTTATTATCTTGAATATATTTCCACAGAGTCAGACTTTCGTTTTTGGTGAATGGTTTACGCGAACGAGTAGACAGGACGGAATAGCTTGACCTTGTTAAAAACTGACTATCATTATCAGTCGGTAACGTCTCGGTGACTGTAACTCCTGGTTCAACCTGTTGAATTGAATTTTGAAAAACATTTTTGGTGCACATATACATATATATAGCCAACAACTACAATAACTGCGAATACTTTGAGACAGCTTCCTGGGGCTCATTTATACCAGTCAGTACAGCTGCAGCTATGTAGTCCAGGTACGGAACTATCAGCCATAAACATTTTATTATACTATGAATACCAGTTTACGAACAGTATTTATTGATCATTATGTATTCAAAGCATACCTGACTGTGAATTATTAGGTTGCGCGTTCGAAATCCAACCCACCAACCATATTTTAACAGCCTGGCATTAATATTTTAAAAAACATAACCTATAGACCAACGCATAGATATAATGAGTAACCAATGTGCTGCAACTCAACCCGGAACATGTATATGTATTGGGGTAAGAGCAACAATCATTGTGCAAGGACACTCTATCGGACAACACAGGTAGAAGCAGAGAAGAAAGTTTGGGACCCAAAGTCCCTCGGTCGAAAGCTAAGTGCTTAAGCACAATGCACGAATATGAATATGACCGGTTTTTGTTCGCTTGAGAATCCTATAGTGAAAGTGTGGGACTGATAGTCTCATACGTATACGTTAACCCGAAAAGATGGTGAAACATCTAATAAATGTAATGTTGTTGTTTATACAGAATATCTACCATATTTCTAATTTCCACTTACTCTCTACAAATCAAAAGTTATTGAGGATTTTCAAAAAATAATAATGAATATTACGTTTAGGTTATGGAGGCAAATGCGGTTTACTCATGCAATTTCTATGTACAGTCTATACAGGTCAATCAGTAGGCCCCATAAGCTACAAGTACCTATAAATTTCACCCTGAACTACACTTTATCCCACGTCCACTCATTACACTTTCTTCACATTGATCCAACCGGTCATTTTGATTGAAAAGTCAAAGCTGTAGATTAGGATAGGACAGGACTTTATTGAGGACCAATGAAGTTATCATATTTCCCGAAAAAAAATTTGATAGCAAGATTATCACGTTAATCACATGACTGCTTTCAAACCAGCTTACTTAAGATGTTGTGACATAAAAGTGTAGTTATACACGAAGCGCTCATCAAAATACAAAGGACTTGAGTACAAAATATAAATGTTTATCCCACAACTGTGTAACAGTTTATTCCTCATCTACAATTTGTTCAACTGCTGAGGTTTTGTCTAATTGACTTCCGAAATATGCTTATTATTTTCTATACAATCCACTTATGATATTATTCGTACGTAGTACAAGATTGGTAACTGGCTTCTTAGTTGCCAAATCAGGTTCCCATTCCCCTAGCGCTTGGAAAACAAAAAGAAAATCTACCGAAATCTAAAATATGTCATATTTCTTGGATTTAAGATGGCACTTGACTCTATCAATCAACAGTTTTTATAAAGTGTTTGACTGTTAATACAATACCGAAAAGGTATATCAATTTGATTCAAGCTGTGTACGTAAGCTGGGTTACGGAGAAATTTTATCTGAAGTGATGACAGCTGTCGATGTTCCCCATTTGTGTCCATCATTAATAGTTTCACCCAACTTTTTCAAAGAAGTATTGACGGATGTGAACCTTTATTTACCCCCGAATTCGTTAGTCCATATAAGATCTAGTAATACTGTGTACGTTTGTTGCTGTGTCCCAAATCAGTACACCAGGACACAAAACAACAAACATAAGGTAGTAGAGAGAACATCAAAAGCCGTTAAAATCTATAAGATGAAAAGAAGACAGGCTAACTTGCTGCCCAGGGATTGCTTAGTTAAACAGGCATACAAACGGTATGATCCTGATAAATCAAAGTAACGACAGAGGTCTCCTAAACGCTTTATTGAGAGTTTTCTTATGGGTGGCATACCTTTCCCATTTGTCAAATGTAAAATGGTGCTGCAAGAACGGTCTTCAGCTACTACAAAGTTAGGGATATGGAGTGCAGCAGTGAATGTGACCACTTTACTTACGGAGCTGTATCAGCCGTTGCGAGGTTTGCTGATAAAATGTCAGTTCAGATACAAAAAGCTCATTGGACCGACTGACTGACAAAATTAACGTAGAACCTCGCAGACAAGTCCATTGACTCAAATTGCTAAACTTCACAGGGACATGTAAAGAACAGGTGGATAGAAAAAGAGTGACATCAACGCAGAAAAAGTTGTGTGGGAATAAACAATCTGAAGATAACGGTTAGTACGAGTATTCAAGTTTTATAAGATATCAAAGAGTGGATGGATTCGCGCCGCTGCGACCGATTTCCAGCCATGTCAACAAGAATCCTCAACCACTGGTTAATTTCGCCTGTGACACCTCCTCACACGAATCAGACCAACAGTAAGAGATGTTATATTCATCTTGGTGACTAGCGGGGGAATCCAGGACGCGTGTTTCGTCGTATTTGGAACTCGTCAGATGGTGTGCTTGCACCTCGGTGAGTGATGTTCCCTGACCTGAAGCTGTTCCTCCTTATGACTAAAGTGACTGGTGACTAAAAACAAGTGATTTACGGAACAAAATTGCAAGATTTTATCCCCATAATCGGTTCTTTGGTATATGATTCCGTAAACAGCTCCCCAAGATGCCTTTTTAATTGGCTCACCTTCCCTACATCAGCGTTAAAGTCACCTACCACTATGACTACATCCTAACGTTTTGGTTTTGCTAGCAAAGTTGACAGCTTTCCATAGAATTCATTCTTTCCACCACCCGAACTATAGTCGGTGGGTGCGTAGGTGGAGATTATGAATAGACATCGCCTAGTCTCCCAATCCATCCTAGTCCTTACAGATCCATTCAGTCGAACATCATATATACGGCTGTTTACCGGTATAGAGTCGAGAAGCGCACTTTCTGCTTTACAACTCAATGCTATGCATACACCAGCCAGTCCACGACAGCTGGCCATTGCGTCTCCGGATTCTCGTATGGTCCGTTTTGAAGATTCACAACTATGGTTAAGCGAGGTCAATTTAATAACCTTACTCGGGTCTTGTATACGTGCCTCAGAGACATAACATACATCCATAGTTACAGATTTCAATTTTGGGGAGCGATGTTTGCTGTCCAACCCGACATAAAGTCCGGACGTTGAAGGCTCCAATATGAAGTCGATGGTGTGGTTTTAAAAGACTAGAAATCAGGTTTTGACGGTTTTGATCGTTGGCAACGGTTGCAGAGCGAGAGGTTACGTAAGGCGTAAGAGGCCAAATATTAGTATCAAGAGGCAAAAGCAAAGGAGACAGAGTTGAGGGGGATAGGTGATGTTGGATTGGGTCTTGCGTACTACTGGAAGCGTGCGCGCAGTTGACACTTACCGGCTACCCGTATCGTGGAAGGTTAGATCTCTTTGCGGTACCTGAGGAAAAAGAGAGCATGTGACCGCCGAGCCTATGGGACATCTACTTGAGGTCGGTCAAACACGGCCTTTCGGCAATATTGAGATTTTGCTTTGCTTTTGAATCCGACTATGAATCCCTGGTACAAGCATCGGTATGACGCAAGAGGGTAGGGGTTTGTTATTTTGGGGGGCGACCTTTTAACCCCCCCCCCCCCGCCTTTCCATAGGAAAGGAAGCATCAAAGTGGGACTGTCGGTCATTTAGGGGAAACACCTTACTGCTGTGAAACTTCATCCAGCTAGCAGCAGTACGACTTCGCTCTCACACCCCTGTTATAGCGTAGTAATTTACACTGCAACAGTAACTGCTTTTCGTCTAACCACTACCCAACAGACCTTTCTGGCGTGATAGGACCTCGAGGGAACAAGCGTTTCAGTCAGTGCAGCTCGTTGGGTCATTGTCATATGCAAGCCTGATCACCACATCAAAGTAGCAGCTATCCGTCGAGAAAAGGCTCATTTGGTATTAACCAGCTTAAATCACCTTTGGGGCAGAAGATATCCGACCGAAGTGTATACTACACAGGTGTGTTTGTCTCCCACCACGAGGATGCGGAATATCAAGGTCCAAAGTAAACGATGAGATGAGGTCGCAGATCTTTAATCAAATGTTTCTACATAGCGTTCTTCATTTGTGCTAGAGTCAAAATGAACAGTGCTAGCGCCCGGCGTATGGCGCTAGGCAGGGAAACCAAGTTAACTATTCAAATGGTCAACCTTTACCAACCAAAATAGCTTAAAACATGTTACGCCTACTGGATTACCATTTACTTTGATGAGTCATAATTGTTTACCAATGTCACAGACAGAAAATGATTGGTGAGAAAGAAAACTATGGATAGATGAATCAATATGGGTTATCAGTTTACAAACACTTTAACTGCCGTTCTGAGCTACGTGAGTGAAATAGCAAGAATGTTGCAGACTACGCTTGAAGTTTTCTAGTGAAAGTTAAAACCCCACTACACTGGTTTAGATGCATTGATTTTCTATCAGGAAACAACTCAACATTTTTACTACCTTTAATTTGTTTCTTATCTATCAAACGTGTTTTCTACTTTAGGAGCTTTTCTTTTTTCATCCAACTTTACACTAGGTTGTTAAAATTGGCAAACTGACCTGATACAATCCTTTAAAACCTGCTTCGTCAGTTTGCTCTTCCGTCAGTCGAAACCGTAGGACGCTCTCAGGATCACCAAAAGTCAGACAGTGTGATAGTACTTCAGCTTATATGGTGTATAGCTAGCTACAATAGTGACAATTTCTGACACTTCTAGTAAAAAGCAAGACAAATGAACTGATATTTTCATGACGTACATTTCAAAACAGTACCTATGAGCTTATTCAAAAATCATTAGGGTGCACGAAACTAATGACACGACACGATCCTTTAAGATATATCAAAGGACTAAGTTTTGCTTTTTTCAGTCTACATACAAATTCAGTGAGGCACCATTTATAGTCGATATAAGAAACGTTCCACCGATTTCTTGATTTTTAAATGACTATTGTAAGCAAGAAGTGCACAAAGATAGTATGAAAACAAAGAAAAGTACAGATGTTGATGAGTCGGTAAGAATTATTCTTTTTAACACCAAAGAGCTACGTCAGAACCCTTACTAGCCTCATCTTTCTAGTGGAGAATTGATCTTACACTAACCTCTTAACTCACCCTACAAAATTGCTAACAAGACTATCCAACACATTAACCTGGAGTTTAAATCAATCAACAATTTCTTTGTGCTTGAGTCTTGGTATCAAAATCAGAGATCGACAATGATTAAAATAATAGCTTGTGAAACCGCATGTCGGTCCAATTTTACGTTGGCATACCAAATAGAGCGAAAACATTTTAACGAAAGTGACGTTAAGTACAGTGACAAACTATGGAAAGAAACCAAAGGACGTGTACCATAATCTAAGTCGAGGCGTCCAGCCAAGGTCAGCTTAATGCGGTAAGTAATGAAGCAAACCTATAGTGGGAGGCCTAATGATACTACCTGGTTGCCCAGACCTCAGTAGGTGGTGTAGGGTTTGAACCCATGACCCACAGTTTGAGTCAACTACAAACACTAGTCATAGATATGAAACAAGGGATAAAATATCCTATTGAAATGTTCACGATTCATATGGAGACAAAGTTTGAATACATTCGTGCCACTTTGACCTTAAGTCATACTGCATAGGTCTTTGCCAACGATTATGATATTCTCCCAAATCCCAACCAGAAAGCTCACAGCTTTTCATGTAGTTGAAAAATCGGTCCCACAACTTCGTCTGATCACCCAAAAGCTTCTGGCATCCGGCTTTTACTTCTGCACCTTCTACAGTCCACAACCGCATCGAATAACTTGCCTTCCCAAATTAATATCATACGCTTAACTTTGAAATTGATTATACAGTGGTTCCACCATAAGTAAGGAACGCTGTGAAGACATCTGAAATCCCTTCACATGTAATTTCGACAGCTGTCGTAACCTTATAATAAGCAGAGTGAAATTCAACCCAATGTACTAGTCTTTTAATAAGTATTCAGAATCCTGGTCGTCAGAGATGATACAAGATGACAAATATCAGACGAATTTTTCATATCCACACTGAGAATTTTTCAGTAGCCAACCCTTCTGCGATACTGCAACTCCCCAAGTGAAATAATCAAAACATTACCATTTTACTTCCTATCCCTAAACCACGAACAGCTGCAGTCATGGGGAATCATCTTGCGTTTGAGAACAGCAAAAGACGCCAAAGATACACAGACTTGCCTACAGAGTTCAGAAGACCTTGTATTTTTTCACTATTTTCGGGTAATAGCGAAATGTCGTCTGAGTGCTCCAAGTCAATCCCTGTAAATTTAGAGGTACCTAGACTTATGTCCACTAGTGCAAAAATAACTAAGCTAAGGAGGAATTGACAACGAGTATCTATGGTGAGACTTCACTGACTTCCTGCGCTTGCAGCTAGTTAGATCGTCACTGCACTGTAACCCTTTCGAAATAAATCACACAGGAAACTCTGTGCAATCCTCTCTCTCTCTCTCTCTGTATATATATATATATATATATATATATATAAACCGGTTTGAATCAGTCACATCGGAGCTAGAATTCACTATTGATAATTCGCCTACGAAAGCTGGAATTTTATTTCTGAGGATCCAAAAGATATCCACAATTCCGCCATTTTGTTAAAGACTGCAGAGAGTGGTGGAGTTGTCATTTATGTACAGGAGGCTAATGCTTTGTAATATATATATATATATATATATATATATATATATATATATATATATATATATATATATGACTGATTCAAACCGGTTTATTCGGTAAAGTGTACATCCAATTCATATTCCTTCGACATGCTGGTGTTGCAAAGAAATATCATGCGTTGCCACATACAGAATACTTATCTATATCCGTTATTCATTTCAAATTCCCCTCAGAAACTAGTTGTGGTGTTTGAAAATGAAACTTCTGTCTGACCAGCCTAGGCTATTCCACAGTATCAAACCCAATGGGAAGACAAAATTTAAACGTTTGCTTACATAATAATTTCTCATAGGTAACCGAGATTTGCTGCGGATACAGTCCCATATATAATTACAATGTATGTATTCTCCAGTATCTACAACCATCCCTGGAGTAGCCAAATATATGCAGTTTTCTCCGATACTTTCAGATACGATACCACCATTCTCAACAATAGCTGTCTTTAGACAGGGTAAATACCCACAAGGCTTGATGTAGAAACACAACTGACTTCCGTTCGGTAGGACGAAAGGTTGAGCAAACATCCGAAGAGTTGCCAACAATATGAAATGACCCTTCAGTATTCAATGTGTTTCACTAGATACCTTAAACAAGTTGGTTTCCGTGATGTGGCTTAAAAGTCTCGCAAAATAGTTTCAGGCCTTCAGTTGGCTTTGATTTAGTGGATTATTTCACTTAAACTTCTTGACGTTGGCTAATAATGTGAAGGTAGATCACAAAGCGCAAAACATTTATATAATACGTAGATCATCTATAAAATGCGGTTCATTCGCGCTATATATTTCAAACAGTCTGATCATTCACTTACTTTAAGAAGTGTTTTACATGGAAACTAAGGGTGGGGGTTCATCGATGTTTTCTGATCACGCTATCCAGATTCATAAGAGGGACTAAATGTTCCAAAGTGTCTGTAATGGCCACTAGTGGAAGTCTTAGTGTGTAATTGCACTGGCTGCTCTGTGTTGAAGGCGTCAGGTTGAAGTACTTAGCTCCCTTAAACGCCTTCTGTGTCAGCGCTTTACATTTTACGCCTATATTTTCTACACTTTTCACGTTGGAAATCCATCATGTAATTGAAAAGTAGTTTCTAATTCATAAATAATTTTGTAGAGATAAAAGCGACTTGGAAGAAAAACGCGTTCTGAATTCCGTGCGTAATGCAAAGCTGTAGAAGTACAACTAATGACTGTCCTCACATAAAACTGGAATCGATTATGTGTGTTTATATATTCGTTTCAAATAGATTTGAATCTATATCACTGGTCCTCAACTGTATACAAATGTAACGCTTTTCATCTTATTTCATCTCTTCCCATCTTTTTTATCGCCTTGAGTAGTGAACTGGGATGATATAGCACAGCTTTTTTAGCTCACTGATAAGGAGCCACGTAGCTATAAGTACTTGGCAGTCAAGAAACTTTGCAACCATGCACTTTCACCACTAGTTTTAAAGGCCTAGTGGCCTGTGAAACTAGGTTAGCATTCGTGTGTAGACACAGGTACTTAGAGAGGACAAATTGTGAAATGCAGTTAAGAATGTCTGAACATGTACTCAAGTCGCTTCAAGAGCAAAGGACCTCAACAAAACCGACAAGTGCAGGTAACAGACGTCCATACTCATCTATTGCTAAACACATACTACACAAGTAAACGTCTTTTGAAGTACTACATAAAATTGGTCTGGGCTGCGCATTTAAATTTAGTAAGGATCTTTCCATCTGTAAATTCAAACCCCCCAGTGTGAACAGGGACAATTTGTACTCACGCTGAACCCTCACCCTGACGATGCTGATTTAAAATGTCACACCAAGAGCAGTGTGATTACATTTTGCCTCTTTCTTTCCTTCCTTTTTGTATGCTTCCTATTGACTTCATCGTCGTTTTCCGCAAATTTTTACATAAATACTCAGCTAAATCTGTGTGAGAATCAGATCGTTCGAAATGTTTGGCGCTAATACATCACATGTTTCAAATGATCTGCGTCTTCTCACCACGCTGCTAAAGTTTGTCGAAGAGACGAGTTGCTTTAAAAATACTGAGTTTGTCTTGAAGTTGGTTGGACCTCCATCACAACAGCACTGCAAAATTGTTTTCCGAATTGTTGTGATGTTATACAGCTGGAGATAGACCTAGCAGGAAAACTTCAGTTCCTGCCCACATTAGATGAAAACTTTGTTCAGCCCCTTTTCTGTTGCGCACCTTCCTGGCACCAAAATGAAACTATGGCCAATATAGATAGACTAAATCGAATTAACTGAATATTAACTAAAGAAACTCGCTTGCATCGTGATGATTTGGGCATTTATAGGTTTTCAAACGAGTACGCATCCGATCAGGCTTCGACGTTATTTCCAGCCTCCTTTGTGTTGGCTAACATGCGCATTCTCAGGGTCCCTAGCTGAGCCATACTAGCCAGGCAAGTTGGACAGAGGATTTCCTGAGAATCACCTCCACTTTTGTCCCAATGAAATGTGTTGCTTTTCCCAGCATGTCTCTAATAACCCGTTTTTTTATTTGTATTTCGTTGTCAGTGCTTACACATTAGGTCGGTTGCTGATTAAGCGGGTACAACAGCACAGCAGTTTTCGTCGGGAAGTGACAGCTATCTGTGCTTCCACCAAAGAATTTCCCCAATTGACCGAAGGCGGCGAAATCATTGTGTTTACGGACCATGACCCCCCCCATGTATGCCCTTCGTGTGACTACAAGGGGATACTCTCCGTGTGTACCGCGTCAATTGAGCACCAGTCCACAAATAAGACGGTCATTTTGCAAAAGATATACGAAAATCTGCAAAATTTAGCTGTACCAGTCCCTGAGAGTCAGCTGGCCAGATCAAAGCAATGTGAAATGATTCGGCAGTGTGAGGTGGATTTGTCCAAGTGCACTGCCGATGGGCTCGACCCGAAACGGGCGAAAAGGGAGCCCTATGTTAGCACCACTCTGGTCTGCCTGACGAAATCCTGGTCAGCAATCTGAACAGGTTCTAACTCTTGAATTTCTTCATGAGTATAATGTACCGACGGCTCATAACAGTATTCTGTCAAGGATTACACAGGCTGAGCTCGGGTCAAAAGCTTCCGTCGGAAAAATGCCGGCGCAAGAGTTGAAAGCCTGAAAAACTGCAGCGTCACATGATTTTCTGGGACAATCTGCCTAGGGTTCCACAAGGTTCAACATTGATGCAGACCTTTAACTGGACTCATTAAGCTGAAGGCACACAGTCAAGCATCCTCGCCATTTGGCACGTTGTTGAGTTACGTTGCACTGCACACAATCGACCCTCTAGCCATTTATTTGGAACGCACCGGCATCTTGGCACGACCCCGTAAATGTACCATTCCATCCGGCCACGCCATTGTGTTATTACTTGGTCCCGTATTCGTGGGTATATAACAAGTTCTAACAATTGGTAATTTGCCTCTGTGTCTGTCTAGTTCCCACAAGGACAATTCCTATTTTTCTCTCTATATTATTCGTATATTATGGAGATGAGCTGTCCTGTATAATTTGCCACGTTCCTGGATTGATGCGCTTTCCCAGTTTACCTCCATTTTAATTGTGGCACATTTTTGGATGAAGAATTCCTACTTTGTAACTGGTTTGAAATGTTCAATTGCTACTGTTACTGTCGTCTTTCTCAACCCCTAGACAGCTCTATGTATGAGAATGTTCGTGCATGTGCTGTAATTGAGTTTGTTGAGAAGCCCATAAAACAGTATCAACTTTATTCTGAGCGTTCACTCCCATTGTGGCATTCGTCCTAGTATGTTGTATCTGGTGGTATATTTTATATTGTTATTCTTGTTGAGTGTTCAGATTGTAAACTATTTCTGCACTTCTTCGGCTTTTAGTTTTTTCGTAGCCCGTATACTCCTACAGATAAATGAGTAATATTCGGCAGTGGTCGGATACATACTTTTACTGTCAGTTTCTCTTCTCAGTTCCAAACCCCACTTCGAACTTATTTCAAGAGTGGGGCGTATGAAAGCTAAGCGTTCAAAAGTAAGCATCTCCGGCGAAAAGAATAGAGGAGTTAGCTCCACTACTATTCCAGGGTGTGACCGAAACTCCACGGTATCATATAATTCAGATTCCAACGAACCCACACACATCTATGCATTTGGCATCTTATGAAAATTAAGGCTGATCCCCCCAACTTTACTTTCGCTGAACATTTTTTCCACATCGGACCATTTAACCACGGGTTCACAATAGTTTAAGTATTTAAATAATCCACTCCATTTTCCTCTTTTCGATTAGGTTTTAGGCACCAATTCAGGGAGGAACTATCAAATGAGTGTATCTCACCGTACAAAACTGTTCCCATTGAGATGAGCTGTAAACACTTAAAGGTTTTAACAAAGTTGTTCAACAGTCTCGTTGTCCGAACTCAGCAGATATTTGGTGTAAAATGACTACACGCTACTCGAGATCAAAAGCTCGAGTCAGAGGTATCAATTATGTCGTTTCTGTGGAATAATCTGTGTTAAACAGTAGTTCGACAGACCCGTTCATGAGCCCTAAAGCCATCAGCATTCTCTAAATTCATTCTATGCCATCTTCACTCCACGTAGCTGTATTTATTTCATCATCTAAATGATACTGAACAAATTTAACATTATCACTTGACTATTTGAGATAGCCATAGTTTGGCAGACTAGTATTTACACTGGGTGACGACTGAAGGTGAGATGAAAACCTGGACAGCAGCCGGATTCACCCAGTGTAAATTTAAAATTCACTAAGATGACTCTGACTCACTGATTTTCCGACTTGCCCCAGTGATATTTTGTTCGTCTATTACTTTGTTAAGTATACAAAAGCAATCCACACTATCCTAACTTTCTATCAGTTGTTTGACGTCGGTTTCTTGACGACCGTCCAAAACATCAGCTTGTAGCATCACACGCCCCCCCAAAATCAATAGCCTAGGGTTTGACGACTTTCGACATTGATGCTGACCTTGATAGTTTAACTGGACTCGACAAGCTGAAGGCACCCGGTCAAGCATCCTGGCCATTTGGCGCGCTGTCGTGTTACGTCGCATTGCTCGTATTCGACTCTCTAGCCAGTTAGTTGGAACGCATCGGTATTTTGGCATAACCATCCAAATAAACTATTCCATCCGACTACGCTATCGTGTTCTTCCTTGGTCTCGTATTCGTGGGTATACAAGTCCGAATAATTAGTGATTGGTCTTTGCATCTGTCAAGTTCGCACCAGGACGAATCCTAAAAGCCTTCTCTTTTTCTCTGGTGGGACTAAATATACACCTTAAGCAGAATAAAACTGCACATTTTCCCTTATACCTGTGCAGCAGACTCCCAGCTACTGACAATAGTCAGTATGAATCGGCTCCGAAATTCCACCTTACTATCACTCCAGCCAGTAAAATGTAGACGACTGTTTTTAAAACAATGCTTTCCCTAAAGTAATTCAGCTGCGAGTTCCTCCCAAGTAATCTTCTTACCGCTTGTATTTTTCATGTAGTCTATGTTACGAAGATTTTAGTTTCATGGTAGTATTCTTCACGAACTGACATCAACTGAAGACCTTGCTGGATAGTCACTATACATCGTGAACAGACAGAAGTGGGGAACTGTGGGCCAACAAAATCCGACCCAGTGGCTAGCTTGTCCACC